AACTTTAAATGAGTGTTACAAATTAAGCTTTATTTATGCAAAAGAAAGAACTAGTTTGTTTTAAAAGTTAAGTGACTTTCAGGGCAAATTCACATTCAAAGCTCCAGATTTTGTCAGACACATGTGTTACCCCAGTATGGAAAAACACTTCAAAGATGCTTACTGAGTTCCTAAAATAGGCGTATTTTCTCAAGTTCTGATTATTCTATTGATTATTCCTCCCCAAGTGGCATGAATATGCACAAATAATTAAAATTTTCAGTAAAGGTAGGATTTCTTCAGGACATTTGCAAGAACCGTGCATGTCTTAAAGCAGGTAATTAATTTCAAATACAGATGGAGACTCTGAAGCTCTGAAAGTCTGCCAGTTCACATCTGCCTATATTTTTTGAATGGAGGGATATATGTGTATACATATATATATATGTATATTTATACCCAGACACTGACATCTTCAGGGCTGCAGTGTTCCTGTCTGCTGACAGCCTTCTCTCCAGCTAAAATACCAGTGGATGTTAAGTTACAGTACAGCATCGGTGCTGTGAACTTCATGAAGGTAGGAGTGAGCTGCAGAGCTGGGTGACAGACATGGTGTGCTCTGCAATACCTAACTACTGACCAGGATTAATAGGACCAATGCTGAGGTACAGGAGAGATGATTTTAGTTGATGTCGTCTGGCACCACATATGAGAATTGTATAGGGTACAAGCTGGGGACAAGGTACAGGGGTGAGAGTCAGGGTAGTGGAGTTTCATTCCCAATCCATCAGACCTCTGTGTTGGGCAAATCTGTTGCCTGCTGATGTCATTTTGTTGCCTGGGCCAGTGTGGAAATTTTTAGCTGGTGTTTGAAAAGTGCCTTGAGATTTTCCTGAGGAAGGAGGTTGCTCTAGATGGCACATCATGAAGAGGTAACCTGGCTATGTCTGGTTTGGTTTTGTACGAGGAGGGGAACCTGCATTTCTGTTGAGAAGAATACATTTAGGAATGTTCCTGTTTGTTTCTTGTGTTAAAAATTCAAATCTTAACTATTCCAGTGGGTGCAGAGCTAATAAAATGGTGGCATCACAAGAGATGAGGCTGTGTCAATGTGCAATTTGGGACCTCTGTTTTTCAGAGTACTGATAAAGTAATTTGAGGTATGTCTACTCACAGACATAATATCTTCTTTCCTTCATGGGCAGATGTTCACATTCCAGGGTAAGAAAGCCATTTGCGAACAATACAACCCACATACCTTTATTCCAAAATAACAGTGTTTGTGCACCTGAGCTAATCGGAAAGAGAAGAAGTACCAAAAGCTTCAGCTGAGACGGTTTAAACTGGGTATAAGTCCTTCATCCTCTTTTTCCTTACCCAACAGACAGCTGAGATATAGTTTGATTTCTTTGAATAAACTGAAATAGGCCTCTCTTAAAGAAAACCTAGGTGTCTGTACCAAGGGGCTGCACAGCTTTCAGTGTTTAAATGCTGTTGCAAGTTTGTGTGTAGACAAGGCCCAAGAGAGTTATGGTGAAGCTATTAGAAGGGGAAGTGATTCTTTTTTTCTTAGACTGATTAAAATTCTTTGGGCTTTCTGTTTGTTTGTTTTAAAATACCTATTTAGCTTTTAATTAACATGTAAGAGAAAGGAAGCTGGTTAAATATTCAATACCTCCTCCCTTTCAATTAAGGTAGAACAGTACACAATGCATGATGAGGCCTCTGGGAAGTATGGAAAAACAGAGAAGAGCAGCCTCCTGATTATCATTTTCAGGGGGACTGGAAAGGTGAAACCCATCTGATTATTATTAACATTAATAATAATAATGGTGAAGCTTTGTTTTTAACATCAGCAGTTTAAAAATACCGTTACTTGTTAGAACCTTATGTGCCAAGTGTTGCCTCTAAGTGCCTTCAGTTTTCCCATCCTCTTCCTTATTTTGAGGGCAAGGATGGGGGATTTTCTAGTAAGTCTTTTCAGTGTCTTAGTGGAGAGGCTGCAGAGGCTGGAGAAGTTATTCTTCATGCTGCATGCCCTTATTTTCATTTTGATGTGGTACTTTCAGTCCCAGCGAGTCAGTAGCCTCAAACATACAGCCCTGAAAGCTCAGCCGAGCAAGTGGGAGATGTTGCCGCCATGCTCTGTGATAGGATCTAGTCTCTTCCCCTTTTTCTTTTCTCCCCCTTGAAAAATCCTTCTGTCTGTGAGTCTGTTATCCCTCAAAATTGCAGTTAAACATACAGAAAAGAATAAAATAAATTATTTGGGAAAAATACTAGTATTTATAATTCAATAAATATCCTTCCTAAATTTTAATTCCTTCTTCTTGATTTTGTGTACCCTAATTCCTCTAACAAAACATATATTTTTCTAGCAGTCCTGTTTAAAACACAATTATATTAACTAAACAAACAAACAAAGACCATTTTATATTGAGGAAACAGCAGAAACCACTGCCCAAAAAGTGATGTATTTTTAAGCTTGCTGTTTCTTTTAGTGTGATGAGACAAGTTACCTGTAGAAAATGCTTTGTTTTTATCAAGAACTGTACAAAAAATATTTTTTTAATCCTTATGTTACATAAATATATTTTAAAATGGAATTGCTGGCACCAGAAATCAGTTGCATAAATGGGTATGTCTGAATGAGTGGTTGCCTTTTTTTTTTTAAGGACTGAAAAGATAACAGATGCTAAAATGCACAGCTATTGGATAGGTTTCATATACTGTGACTTCAAGGTTTACTGGATATAGGAATGCATTAATTTTTAAAAAAAAGAAATGTTTTGCAAAAAGATTTCTGACTGCATATAAAGCAAGACTTTCCCGATTCAACTTTTAAATTAGCTTATTGTGATGACCTACTCGGAAATGCATGATGACAGGATGAGTTTATTAACTAACTGCTTTCTTATCTGATGAGTGGTGACCTATTTAGTGCTACGGCCTTTTATTTTCAAAAAAACCCAGCTTATTTCCCACATGATTCTTCCTTCCAAACACATAAACACTTGAGTAGCTTTACCTGTATGTCTGTGATTACTCATCAGTAGAGTTAATGATGTGTATTTACTGGCTGGACTAAAACAAGAATTAGTCCAATTAGTTCAATAATTGGTTATTTAACAAATACTTCCTTAATTACTGAGAGTCCATTTCTACTTCAGCTGTAAATAATAGAAATTCTCTCATTAATTTCTTCTAAAGTAATATTTTTTTCTTTTTTTAAAAACTTTTTTGTTTCAGAACCCTATTCACATAAATTAGAGGAAAATTTCACAGTTCCAGAGGATAATGAAAATTGCACCTTCTCTCTGAAGGTTCATATTTAGGTCAAACTCTTATCCAGATGAACTTAGCACCTTGTGAAGATTTACTTTGTTTTATTTTGTTTTATTTTATTTTAAAAGGAAAAAGGCCAAAAGAAGTAGTATTCATATATCTGGAGATAGTAAAATTTTGTTACCTAGAAAATTCTTTACTACTGTATGATTAAAAGTTATGTGAGCAGTCTAAAACAAAAGTCTTTGAATTGGTTGACCTCAGAGGTGTATCGTTTAGATGCAAATTCCACTAATGTCAATTTTATCTCAGCTGGATATGAACTATATCTAGTTACAGCTAGCCCATGCCATAGAATTATAGGAGATGATAAAGGCTGGTGTGCAGAAGATTTTGCCTGTGGATTTTGGACCAGGGTCCTGCCCAGCTAGATAGCATGGACTTTCCATTATAAGGAGAAGATACGAAACCTTAATGGAGAAGGCTCTACCTAACCCGTCTTCAGCTTGTTTCTAGTCCTTCTATAATTAGCACATCTTCAAGAAGGGATAGAGGGAAAGAAGGGATCTGTTCGGCAGAGGATGTGCAAGAGGAGCTTTCCTAGGGTAACATGGAGACATGGGGTCTTGCCTGCAGGAGGCCATGGTGTGGGCGGATACTTTACTAAAGTAGAAGTAAATACAAGTCCAAGTGCTGTGCACATGGAGATGTGTAGATAAGCCTCAATATTACACTTTCAGAATATTTTTTCTTGTTGTTTGTTGGTTTTTGGGGTTCTTTTTTCCCCTCCAGATTCTCTGGAGCAGACGTAAAGGAAGGGCAATACTGATAAAAAGCAATAGCAGTAAATCACTAACTTTTTCCTTTCTCCTTTTTTAAAGGTGAACATACCCAAGAAACCAATTCACCTCATTCGCTGAAGAAGGATGTGGAAAACATGGGGAAAGGTAAAATAAATAAGGGCCCCTTACATTATAAAACTGCTCTTTGTTTTAATAGAATATGAGGATAATAGGGGGCACTTTTGTTCTGCACCATATTTTAAGCTTGTCAAATAACATATGAATAATATATGGACCTTTGGGTGGATATAATTGAGATTAATGCATATATATCAATCAATACATGACACTGTAATATAATACTTTAAAATAATATATTACATTGATTTATATTCATGGCTTTCTGCACAAAATCTATTGTAGGTCTATGCAACACTTTTTTTTTTTTATAACTGCTTAAATATTTTGTCTTGTAATAATGAATTGCTCTGCAACTATTCTTTCAAGAATTATTTATACAGATTAGCAAAACCACTTTTCTTTTCCCTTTGTTAGAGGAACTCCAGAAGGTTTTGTTTGAACAGATCGACTTACGGAGGAGACTAGAACAGGAGTTCCAGGTGTTGAAAGGAAATGCGTCTTTCCCGGTCTTCAGTAAGATACACATCTGTGGTTTTGGTGTTATTTATGGGTGGTTGGGTTTGTCATATTGTTAAAGTGAGAAAGGTGTGTTCTCAGTTGTGTTGCCAGGATCTTTGCTTAGTTCTGCTGAATCTGATGGCACTTTTGCCTTGGGTTTTCAGACCTTTTGTAGGGAAAATCTGAAGCTGGATGTCTGTTTAATGTGTATTTTACTGATTCTGATAACATTGAATACAGTGAGTAGACAGAAACATGTCTGGGGCTTCTTGGGGTACAGCAGTGTCAGTGGTCTTAAGCAGCTTTTTGGAGGCTTTTGAAGACAAGGTACTTGATAGTTACCTTTAGGTAGTTCTAGGTGATGATGGAGAATTGATGTGGCCCCTCTTTAAGAGACAGAAATACCTATTTGGACTTTTCCTCTTGAGATGGGCTATTTGAGATGGCCCTTCCACCATGACTGATGAGCAGGGTGTTGCTGTCCAGGGGTGATGGAATGTGCCTGGCACGTGTTAAATAAGAGAAAACAAAATGGACACTTAGGGTTTTCATGAAGCTGCCAGAAAGTTACACTGCATGCACAGGGAGAAAGGCTCATTGACTGAGACTTTTTGAATTACGCTGGCATCAGCTGGGAAAAATATGCTTCCATGAGAAATCCCACATAGGTCAGGACAATGTAGGAGACACAGTAAGGGCTCTTACAACATACAATGAATGTAATGTTACAGGCTGTCCTGACATTTGTTAACTCATATGTGCCTGAAATGTCTGACCAGCACGCAGCACGAAACTGCCCTCATGTTGGTGTGTCATGATTTCTTGAAGAGTTCAGAAACTCAGTATTGTTAGACCTCTAGGTCCCTTGATAAAAACTCCAGGGACAAAACCCGGTGTTGCCAGGTCCCACAAAGTAAGCAGGTCAGCCAGAACCCACTGCTGCAAGCTGATGAGTGTTGCATCTCCCAGGAAATTTGGGAGCACAGACATCATTCTCCTGTTATTTAAAGAAAATACATTTGTCCCCTTTCTCTAGCATCAGATAGGGTAAGTTCAGGGAAGCAAGGAAGTGCGAGAACTGTGACTCCATCTTTAGCCCAAATATTGAAAGATGTAGATGGCTTCATAAATAAAGGAGAAGAGCTGCCTGAGGTGATATGGATATTAATGAAAGGAGGATAACCTCATCCTTCAGTATAAATTCAGTCATTACTTGGGTTTGGGAGTGAGGTAATTTTAAAATAATTTGTGTAGATCAAAATACTGATGTGTGGTATTGGTGAAATGGCATCTTGGAATTTTGCCATTCAGGTCATTTATTTATCCTTTTGTTCTTCTACAGTAAAATTAATGCTCTGTCATTGCCATGTAAATAAACACTGCAATTAAACCACATGAAATACAATTCAAATAAAAGAAAAGAACACGTACGGCTGACCAAGGAAGTGGCAACTGTATGCTGGCTTGAAAAATATGTGGTTTCAATGTACCACAAAGTAGTGGTCAATTTTCTTCAGGATTAAAATAGAAACCAGATAATGTGCAATAAACAATATATACAAGTGACCGTAAAACCTATTTACAGATTTAGATTTACCAAAAAAAACCACCCCTCCTCCGCATATAATAAAACAAGAAGAAGGGTCTTTGTAAAGCAAAGAAGCGTAAAATCCAGGGTAAAAGTGGTTTGTCTTCTAGAACAATACATGTCCTAGCAAAAGAGAAGAGGTCTGTGCCAGGCTCGTGCTGCTGGATGGGGCTGCTGCTTTAGGTCAAGTATTAGAAAGTGTTTTCCCAAGGTTTCCCAGGTCAGTATCTGTGTGGGGTGATGTTGGATAGGGAGAAGCTAGACAGAGAAGTCTTCAGAGAACCAGCTAAAGGAATGTTGAGGTAAAATTAAAATTGTGTTGAAGGGTTTATCATGGCTTGGAAATACCTGAGGCTGTAGGAGGGAGCGGAGAGTAGACAGGTAACAGGGTTTATATTTGTCGTGGTTTAAGCCCATCCAGTAACTCAGAACCACACAGCTGCTCGCTTACTTCCCCTCCGTTCTTCCTCCACCTGCTCCTGGAGGGATGGGGAGGAGAATGAAAAGAATGTAACTCCCATGGGTTAAGATAAGAACAGTCCAGTAACTAAGGTATAACACAAACCACTGCTGCTAGCACCAATAATAATAATGATAACGGAAATAACAAGGGAAGAGAATACAGTCGCTCACCACTCGCTGACCAGCCCGACCTCAGCAGTGATCTAGCCCTTCCGGGTGACTCCCCCCAGTATATACTGGGCATGACGTGCTGTGGTATGGAATACCTCTTCGGTCAGTTTGGGTCAGGTGTCCTGTCTCTGCTTCCTCCCAGCTTCCCCTCCTCCCTCGTCTGCCATGAGACTCATGAGACTCAGAAAGTCCTTGGTCAGAGTAAACATTATTTAGCAACAGCTAAAACATTGGTGTTACCAGCGTTGTTCCCAAGCCAAAAGTCAAAAGTACAGCACTGCACCAGCTACTAAGAAGGAGAAAAATGTCTGCTACTCCTGAACCCAGGACAATATCCTATCCCACTCTGGCTCACCACACCATCAGGCTGAGCAGCAGTGGGGACTGGTTTCCTGTCCCATCCCTAAAGCTGCTGAGGACAGGAGCAGTCTACCAGGGTAATTCTCAATCCCACAGGTTGTGGTGGTTCTCCCTGTGCTTTGATGTGAAAATAAGAAGCCTTTGTTTTTTAAGTTTTCTCAACCTTATTTAAAAGGAAGGAAGTGCCTCGCTATTCAGCTATGTGAGATGTGGAAGGTATCACTGTATCTCTCTAGAAAACGCCTCTCTTGGGTTACGTGTAGTTAACTCCAAAGTCACCTTTTTGTTTTGGGTCTTGCATTTGGAACTGAGCACATTTGGGGTGTTTTACCTTAATAGCCTCAAAGCACCACCCGCAGTGGTGCCACGCAGTCTTGTGTGTAAATGGTGTTTGGTTTCCACCGTCTCCTCATGGAAATCACTGCTAAATGAGAACTGATCTTATTTGCAAACTCATTTAGCAGTACTGTGCTGCGCGCTTCTCTGTGTCTTCTTGTACCTGCTTGAAATGTGGACCATGATAATTTATAAAGCAGCCGACCTTGTCTTCTGCTGTTTGTACCTTTATTTTTTATATTGTTGTTGTACTTGAAAGCTACAGATGGGGCTTTCCTTTGCCTGTAACATCTCTCAATGCAGAGATCACTTGAAGAAAATAAAAAAATGAAAAGGTCAGATCACTTGAAGAAAATCAAAGAATTTGCTGTCCTGATACAAATATGAGCACTTGTGCATGATGATAGCGTGTTCCCCCAGAACCCTCTTCTGTTCTCTGCCTTTGGTGTAGGCTGGCACGCATTTTGTCCATGTGCTTTTAACAATGTGGCAATAAAATGGTGGAGACATAGTCTGGATAGTTAAAGTATTTAATTTTGTGTTAAGAAAGCTATTTAAATATTCATGTCTTTTCTCTTGGGTACTGCTTATGGCTTTGTCTGTAAGCATTCAGATTCAGATAAATGCTGCCAGAAAAAAAAACACCCGGCTATCCTTACCATTAACACCCTATTTCCACTGCAAGCTTGGACATTTTCAGTGCAGGATTGAGCAAGATTTCTGAGCTGTTTTTTTCTGAGAGGTGATGAGCCTGTGAGGAGGCAGTGAGGAGGAAAGTGTCAAGGAGAGAAGGAATATTTCTCCATGTAGCCTACTCATAGTGAAACTGGAGGACCCCAGTCATAGCTGGCACAGATATGTCAGCCTTTAGTGACCAGGATAGGAAGCGATCACCATTTTATACTGCACAGCTTTTTTGGAGCTAGGAAGACGGGATTGCAAACCTGGTTTATTTCTGTTGGCTTCTTTTCCCGGTTGAGTTGGACTAAAAGGAATAGCCTGAAAAATTCTGTGGGCATTTACTTGAAATTTGAGAAACTTTTTATAGGATAATGTTGTCTTATCCTTTTCCTTGTGACTGAGCTGGGTTCCTGATGGATTCAGCCAAATAAATTTTCTCATTCTTTCTTTCTTTAATTGCTATTTTTTTGTTGTCCTGAAGTGCCCCCATGCTTTATAAACAACAGCTTTTGGTCATCATTCAGAGGGGCAAAATTCTTGTGTGAAAGAGGACAGAGCTCTGCCGCCTTGTACTTTATTCTACCGTGTTCCTATGCCCACACTTGGTGGCGATATGTCTTCTTCCCCTGCAGGAGAGATAACATCCTTCCTCTACACTGCATCATGCCATGCCTGCTCACTGCTTTCCTGCTCCTGCTTTTGGGGTTGAGAAGTTTTTGCAAGGCTGTGTGACTGTGTCCCAGCATGATTATTTAATTCTCTTAATTGGTTAGTTGTAAATAAACCTTTTTAGCTGCCTTGGTCTTGTAGTTCTTCTCCAAGCTCTGTGTGTTCACATGCTCCATGCTGTTTTCTGTTGGCATTCACCTTGCTATTTTCTATACTTGTTTCCTGATTCAGAATGATACTGGATGGAATGGATTTTCTTTCCTCCTCCATTTAATAATCCACCACTGCACTCCGGTCTCCATCATGCAGCTCTCCATGTTATTTGCTTCCTGTCGATAGTTTTGTACATATTTTTATTTTTCCCTCCCTCCAACAGCATTGTTATGAAAACAGACCAGCAGTTAATTTTCTACCAAATTAAGTTTTGTCTGAAATGGATAAGAGAGGAGGAAAATAAGGGAAAGAGGAGATAGTGAAGCAGGAAGGCTGGTCTGTGCTGTAACCCAGCTGTCAAGAATCAGTCTTTCAAAGACTTTTTCCCTTCTGCTTCCACGTCACTGTTTATGGAGCTTTTAGTCTGAGTTTTGTTCAAAGCCATCAGCACGATGTTACAAACTACAAATCAAATCGTGCATCCTTGAACACTTTCTCTTCTCACACGTTGGACATCGCTATTGATGTCAACAGATTTATGCCAAAGCAAAGGGGAACAGCTTTTGCTCTTCTCATCAGCATTGGTAGACGTTTGACTAATGACTGCAGAGCCTTGTCCATTGAGAAGAATAACTGTGGGAATAAATGCTAGCAACAGAAACTTAGCAGAATACATTTGTTAATTGGGAAATAACTGAATCTAGTTTTTCCACATCTCTTGTTTGAAGTGTCCTCTACTAGATAAGTTTCTCTTAGGAACATGTTTTAATTGGGTGAAGGGCTTTGTAGTGTTTCATGGTTCCTTATTAGTGATCTGGTTTGATTTAACTTTATTTATATGAATTATACTGTGTGGTTTCCATTTTAACTACTGCCTCTGCTTCTTTTTTTCCTCTTCTTACAGATAATTTTCAAGATCAGATGAAGCGGGAGTTGGCGTACAGAGAAGAAATGGTACAGCAATTACAAATTGTAAGTTTGCTTTCTCTGCTAAAAACGTTATAAACTGTTGCTTTATGTTTTTTCAATGCAATGCGCAAACTTTCCCTTTGTGAGCCATGCAGATGTACTATTCCCGAGCTCATATTCCTGAGCTCAGCTGGTTTAGAGTCTAATTACCTGGAGATTTACTTTCATGCGGTAACCAGATGGGTCTTCATGTTTCAACTAAACGAAATGCGTTGACTCAATGCTGAGAGGTGCTTCTTCAGAGTGAAAAGTGAGGACTGAATCAGTACACCTTAAGCAGTTAAATGTTTCTACCTTGTACAAGTTGTCAAGGGGTGTATTTCAGCCCTTGGTAGGGAACCTGTGCAAGGCCAACTTCTCACTGGCAAATAAACCTCAGGATGTGTCTTTGTGAAATTTCAGCTGCTAGAAGAAGTGCTTAACTCGGCAGTAAAGGATTGAGTTGCCAAACACAGCTCAGTGCAGGCACACGTTGCTGTTGGGTTTTTTGCTTGTTACTTTAAAATCAAGAGGGATTTTGCATGTGTGTGTTAGTGCAGCTCTGTATCATTGTAACAACTGTGCTGCTTTGAAAACTTGGCATACTTAATCCAGTACAAGCAAGGGGTGTAGTATATAAAACTGTTTCTTACTCAGATACTGTTTAGTGTAAGAGCAGGGCATGTTAACAAATGGGAGGCTATCAGCATGCTAATAGTGCTTTTTCTATGATCAGTCTGACGTTATTTAACAGGGTTTTTTTGAAGCAGGTTTGCCAAATATCCCCACTTACCTGGATCCAGTCTGTGCTTGAACATCTAAATTTTCCTTGTGGTTGTCACAGAGCCTAGTGCAGGGAAGGCATTGTCCAGCCTTCTGGTGCTGTCATTTTCTAATTGATGGGTTGGGACATAAAAATAAAGCTGAAGGCCAGGATTGTCAAACTTGTGCACCTATGTTTAGAGGCTTTTAGGAGTGGCCTTATTTTTAGAGCTGCCAAACATTCCTGCTCCCTGTTCCTGCTGACTTCAGGGATTTCAATGAGAGATGGAGGGTGCTTGAAGGAGGTTCTTTATGGAGGGAATTCAAGTCCAGAACATCTTTGGAGATTTTTTTTCTGCTGCTTGTCTCCACTCTTTAATGCGTCCAGTGGTTACGGTGTTCCCCTTTGTCTCCCAATGCCAGGAAAGGACTTTGGCTTGATCTGTGAATTGCATTGTCACAGAAGCTGGTAATTCAGATGCCATCCTGAAAAGTACTTCCCCTGCTGCTTTGGATTTGAGGCAGGGATCTGTCTGATTCCTCCTGTGAAGCACATTTAAACACAAAGTTTGTGGCCCCACTTCAGCCTTTATCTCTTGTGTCAGGCGAACTCGGAGCTAAATCTCCCTCTTAGGAGAGAATGGATCATCTCTGCCATTCACTTTGTGGTCCAGTTCTGAAGTTGTTTCTGAAACTGGATGTCACCACCTCCAGCCAGCTGATCTACAAGAAGTGGAAAAATCACAAGGTTCAGTGTAGTGCTTTTTCTTGGGCAAGAAAAGACATATGATCATGTAACTCACACCTTTTTATGGTGCATGCTACAGAAAGACTAGCAGTCATTTGATCACTGAACAGAGCTGTCTGAATGTACTTACAGTAAATAGTTTCAACATTTAACGTGCTGTACAAGCAGTTCAGGACCCCTTCACTGTGGCTGCCTAAGTTTAATTGTCACTAATAGAAATGTTATCACATCATCCGTAAGTCTTTATGCTCACATTTGGGTATCCCTCCTGGTGAGACAGGTTGTGTAGCAGTGAGACAACTAAAAAGGATGTTTGCATCTGAGGAACTGAGAGACTGCTGCAAATAACAAGTGTGTTTGTTTAAGATTGGTGCAGAAATCTTCAGGGATGTTTTGGGTGGTAGCTGAAATGGAGTCAGCACTTCTGATGTGATAAATGCTGCAGTTACTTTAATTCATTCACGTGAATATACCTTGTGTGCTTACATGTAGAATTAAGGTTGCTGAGCTGAATGTGCTAACTCATTTGGCCTTTTGGGGTAATGGCATAGATGAGTTAGAGCTTTTAGTGCAAGATACACAAAAAGCGTGGTTACTTCTAAATTTTTTTGTTCATTTGTTGTTTTTAAAAGGGGCAGGTTGTTTTGGCTTGTATGTACATGGGATGCTCTACTATTGCTTTAGCAGAGCTGCCCACAGCTCATTTTCTTGTTATCATTGAAGTCCAAAGATAAAAGCAGAAATCTTTAATGTATACTTGTGGTGGTTTAAACCCAGGACAATACTTAAATCTTAATTTTACTTGCAACTTCACAGCTGTATACCTTTGTATTATTAAACTCAAAATTTACTAGTATAACTAGCTGCAGAACCTAGCTTAATTGCTTTGTTTATTTTACAAACAGCATGAATGCACAGAATCAGTTTCTTTTGGCTCTTCTCACCACTGAAGGATTGTAAAACTTCACTTAGTCCTTTCTGAAGACTTGTGCGTGACCTTGAAGGCATCTCCTGTTAACAGGGAGTTACCAGGGGCAGGTTTTGCAGCAGCGATGGTTTCACTCACCCTGCACCGGAATTCCTCAAGCTACATAACTGAGTAGTCACTGCCTTGGCGTGCTTGATGTGTCAGAAAGGTCAGGAATACAGAAAGCTGAAAGTAAGCATGAAAAGATTAATGAAATATAAATTGCATTTGAAAACTTCCTCGTGCAAACGCCTGACTTTTACATGGAAGGCCTGATGGAAGGTGCCGGGGTTTTTTCCTCCCAGTAACTCGTTCTCCTCCCAGTTCTCGGTGATGCTCTGAAGCTGTAGTGCAGGAGGCGATGATGAGCGGCCCCGCGCGGGGAGCAGCTCGGGGGCCGCTGGCGCGGGCTCCGAATGCCCTCTGCCGCTCCCCGGCCGCCACTGCACCCCCAGCACCGGCTGCGAGGCACCTGGCTTCAGTACTCCTCATTAAAAACCTCCGTTATAGCAGCGTTTAATCAATGGGGTTTTGTTTTAATGCTCTGTCCGCTCCGGAAAAAAAAATAAAAAAATATATATATATACATTTTATGGCTTCCTGAAAGTCAGGAGGAAAGCTCAGATCGTTGGGAAAATGGGAGGTTGAGTCCTGTTCTGTTACATCCTCAGTGCTAGATGTTGACTTCTTTGGACATAACCCTACTTGGTAGGTAGCTGGAGCAGTGGGTCATTGTGTGGCCAGCAGCAATTTATGTTGAGAAAGGATTTGGTCAGAGTGTCTTGGGCAGCTGCTGGGAGGTATTAATCAAAGAACCATGGAATGGTTGGAAGGGATGTTAAAGCTCATCCAGTTTCAACCACCTGCCACAGGCAGGGACACCTTCCACTAGAGCAGCTTGCTCCAAGCCCCTGTGTCCAACCTGGCCTTGAACACTGACAGAGATGGGGCAGCCACAGCTTCTCTGGACACCTGTGCCAGTAATTCCAGTATTGCAGCCTGTTTGTGCCAAGGTCCCAGCCAAGTGCCAAGAAACAATCAATCATCATGTTTAGCAAGAAAATAGGTCTTAAATCTTTGAATGCACTTTTCTCTTCCTCCTTCCTCAAAGTGCTGTCTCCCGAATTAGCTACATACAGTGCGTGTATTTGGAGGTCTTATATAAAATATCAATTTTATATATGGGTTTAGGCATGGAACATTTCGCTTTTGCTATTCAGCTATACCGAAAGGGCCACCAAGAAGAAACAAATGTCAAGCATGCTGGAGTAAGTTCAAAAATGGCGCATGTGATACGGCCTTAGAAGAGCTCACCTGCCTTTTGAGTTGTTGGTTTCTGTCCAGGGTGACCAGAACTCATCTGTCAGGACAGCCAAGCCAGTCTAACAAAGCACTGAGTCAACTCCTGCCTGAGCTTCTGCATCTGTCTGGTATTGTTTTCTGAGCATGTGTTAGTGGATCACAGTTTAAAAGCATAAACTTTCTTCCTAGCTGCCAGGTGGGAGAATGATTAGAAGCAGCATTCCCAGTACAATGATTTTTTATTCCTTTTATGTTTCGGTAAACCCCTCTAAAACACTGTTACAGATAGGTAGAACACTAAGCTAGCATGTTCATTTCCTTTTGGGGGTCCCTTACAAGTAGTTTGTTGGTTCCGAGGAAGCATAGACCACAGTTGTAATGTATCCATCAGGAAAGACTAAGGTGGTGTTCATCACGCTGCTCCTGTAGTTTAGGTAACTAAGATCAGGTACTGATCAATCCCACTGACTTTATATAAGGGTAAAAAGCAGGAGGTCTTTGGCATGTTAGAAATGTGAGAAGGGCAGTCCTTTATCTATCCAGCTCTAGCAGAAAGTGTTGTTTTGGTTTTGTTTGGGTTTTTTAATTTAGTTAGACTCCCATGAACTGCATTCCTCCTTCCAAGCCTAACTGGGGTGATATTACTGTTCAGAGCTCATAACTGGATCCAGCTGGAGCTCCTCTGATATTTGATGGCCTTACTTACTAAGATTCAGTGCTGCTTTGAATCAGCTCTGTTCTTCAGAGGCAGACAATAAAATTAATCTAGAACTATCTATCTACAAAATTGATTTCTATTTCTCCATCATGTTTCACCCTGATCTTTGAGGATTCACAAGAGTGTTTAAAAGAAGAAAAAAAGGTACCACGTGGTAATGCTGGTAGATCTTCAGAGGTATGAGATCATGTTCCTCTGGGTCCTACTGTAATTAAGAAAAGCACTAGTAGGTTTAATTCCTATTTTAGGCTGTATATAAAAAGCAGGTGCTTTTACACCCAATATATTCATTATACAAACAAGGAATATCCACATTTTTGTGTGCAGAGACACTGGTCGCTGCATGCATATTATTCCATATTTGAAAAATGGAAATAGGAAACAGCAGTACTTTATTAGGATTTCTGTTTTGGTCCTCTGCTTAAAGTGGTCCAGCTAGATTGATTGACCTTGGTAAGAATGTTAGAGGGAAACATCGGTTCAGCACAATGGCTCTTGGATTTTTTGAGCTGCATCTTGTGCTGAAGTGCCTGCACACAGACACACAGATAATAACAGATAGAAGAGCATTTCTGGAAACATGTTCACTGTATTTTGCAGACTCCAAGGCAGATTTTACTTCTTTGCCTCCCTTCTCCAAACCCAGAGAGATACTTATATTTTTTTTCTCATTAATGTTTTCACCTGTGCTTTAGTAGTTGGGATGATACTGCAGGTCTGTTTCTGTATGTTCAGTTATCTGTGTTTGATTTTTTGGTGAAGCTTCTTTGATGTCCAAGTGTAGCAGGGATGAATGTGTGCTTTAGAAATGAATCCCAAATCCTATGCACATATCTGTGCTTTGGTTCACGTTGTGCCCCAGACTCAGAGCCTGCAAACTGGATTCCCTGAATGAAGCAAAAAGAATGTGTTCCAGGAATGTAGTTAGGAGTGTGCTGTAGGACAAGCCTGTCTTTATCAGAACAGACACCGTGGATGCACAACAGGGGAATGTATTGTCACGAAGAGCCCTAAATATATTCCACTGCAGCAATGGAGTTACCAAATGCTCTTCAAATGTATAAGATGACATTGCAGATGATTTAACTCATGAAGAATGTAGTTATTTCCCTGTTAGACACCCATCTCTCCCAGTTTCATTTACTACCAGGAGAACGGATAACCCAACACACATTGAAAAGACACTGATGTACCAAATATATCAGAGAAGTGGATTAAAACAGTTAATTTCTGACAGAATGTACCCCATTGTATTATCTAGGTCAGTACAGCCTGGGAGATGTCCTATATACTTGGTAGCCACACGAACTGGTGTTGCCTGTTGGACGTCCTGAGTGGGAGAGAGAAGGAGAGCAGTTGGTGAAGCATCATGGATCTCAGCTGAAATGTGCTTGTTCAGGCAGTTTGTTTGTGACTCCTGTTTGAATCTAAACTGTAGAAATGGGTGATCAGGTAAACAGTTTCTTTGCAGACATCTCTGCTGCAATTTGGACAGGAGTTTTCCAGCCTTTGCAAACGCTGTCCTGAAGGCAGCTCTGTTCGAGAATGCGGTGGAGGAAAGAGCTCTGTTTTTTGGGGAGGAATCTGTCAGCATGCTTCCTGTTAACTTCAATTCTGTCAAGAGCGAGGGGTTATAAGAGTAGTCAGACAAAACAGCTGGATTCTTGGTCTTCTCAGGTCATCGGTGGTTTTGGCCTCTCAGTTCATGCATACATGTTTCCCTTTCCCCAGGGCTGTATAGTGTGGGAAGCAGCATGCCCCTATGAAAGGCTTCTGTTTCGTTCAGACAGACGGCTCATCTTTGCAGATGCTGCTGCTTCCTGGTGTTGCTGCTTTCAATCAGATTGACCTCCTTCCCTGAGAGATGAAAGGGTTAGCTCCTGAGCTGCAGCTGCTCCTTTCTTTCCTCTCATCCTGAGCCTTCCCTGCTCTTTTCATTATTAAGGCAGGCAGGGTATGGATGCATCTCTTCATGTAATTGCAGATACTACACTTTACACCAGCCAGGAGACATGCTGAGCACAATTCACACAAACATCCTCACATACTGTGGGCATAATGTAATTAAAAACAAAACAGGGATATACAAGAATGCATGTTAGGTGTATGGTCAGTGGATGCGGATGCAAATTCACATGTTTTCAGCTGTGTGGGGTAGGTTGCTTCAACTCTGTGCATTTGCCTGCCTCTTCCTTTTGCTGTTCATGCAGCTTAAGGCCTTGCTCCTGACTTAAGCTCATCATGTTTGTCATCTTGCAGTAACATATTTGACATTATTTGTGAATATATTGTGGAGTGCCTGACAGCTGAAGAAGGTCACCTCAGTGTGCAACAGTGTCTAGGAGTGGAAGGACATAGATTTTCTGATCCCAACCTGAATTCCTCCGATGGTCCTTCCAAAAGGCAGCATCAAGGAATAGTGAATTTGTAGTCGCTTGGATTCCCAGCTATGGAGAAATCTCGAAGCAATTTAGTTTTGTTGCTTTCTAAAGGCCCAGCACTGGAAAAGAGCAGCCCTGAACCATATTCCCAGTAGCCAGCAAGCACATCATCCCACCTTGTTTCTAAATATATCTCTGTTCTCTAATATGCCTATGTATGTTCTCTTTTTCTTTAATTTTTTGTTCCACTTCAGTGGCTTCCCTCAGATTGATGCAAGTCAGAGATAACTATTAGGAGCTTCCCAATTATGGTGCTATAAACACGTGAAGCCTCATACTCCCAACATGCTGTATTTTGGCTGTGCAGAGATCAATGCATGTTGCTTGCTCTGTTATGAACAGCTGATTTTTGTCATCTTGCAGGCAGCAGAATGGGTGGTGGATTTAATTTTTGGCAGCAACTGCTAGAAACAAAATATTGGAAGACATCTTTTACATTGGATTTTAAGATCTGTCATTTTAGTTTGGGCCATTTTTGTTTTGTTTCTGCATCAACATTCTTGTGGTTTTGTAAAGAGCTCAATCTTTTCATTTAAGGCACTGTTTCCTAAAATGATACGGGGAGGCAAACAATACTCTTCATCTGCAGGGATTCCAGTTTAGAAGTTTCATTAGCCAAACCTGGCTTAAAGCAGTGGCTTTGTCTCTGTGTCATTGCAGATTCCCTATGCAGCAAGCTTGATCAGGAAAGAAAAGCTCGGCGCACACCTCAGCAAAAGCTAAAGGTGAGCTTATGAAAGGTGAGACTTTATTCTGTCTTACCTGGATGTCATGTTTTTTCTTTGCAGCCATTGCAAGATTAAAGGGATCATTCTTTGGCTTGATGTTACTGATTCTGGTCTAAAAGCTCTGTCTGTGAAGGTGTTGTGCTACTGTCTAAAGCTGGTAATTGACATGTCACATAAATTACTCCTACTGGGGTAGGACATACTGCTCAGAGTTGACCACTGGGTGAATCCAGGCCTCATTGCCTGAGCGTGTGCTTCAGCTCTGGTGAATAGTGGTGTAAAGGTCATGTACCATCAGTGGAAGGAGGGAAGTACCCTGGCATTCAGTAGGCACTGGAAGTTCACACACAGACAGGTAGAGATGAGGTTTTCTGTCCATAGTGGAGCTTTTTCTCAAGAAAGATCAGTGTATTTTGGGAGCTTTACAGAACAACACAGACTCTCTGTCTTCTGTAGCTCAGTCTCCTGCAGAGGGAAGTTACCCTGCTGCCCTTGTACAGGATATTCCCAAACCCAACACTGCATTTTTCAGGCGTGGTTTTTAGAAGCATTCAGTTAAAAGAAGCACCATCTCCATCATCGTGGTTGATTGGAGAGATTCCAGTTTCAGGTGCTACAGCCTCAACACTTAAAACATTTCTTCTGGTAAAACGAGAGATGGAGAGGCAGAAAGCTGGCAGCCCTGCTACTGTGATATGGTACAAAATATGGCTTGTGGATTTACTGGAAAGTTCCCTGAGGTAGAGCAGGTGAATTAGAAGAAAAGAGCTATTCATAGGTAGAGGCCTCAGTAATGCACAAAGTAAAGCTCTCAAGAGAAAATCTGGAGCATCTGAGAAGGTGTTGATAGTATAGATGATGGATGTTTGCCTGAGCTATGGAAGAAGCATACTTAAAACATTAGGAGTAAGTATAGTTACCATATAACCAGTATCTGGCCTTGAGCTCTGTCTGCTGAGATAAGGGGACTAATCTAAGCATCAAGTTGGTCTGTTTTGCCTCTTGTGCATGCTTTATTACTGTCTGCCAGCATTTTCCAGTTGAGTCTCATTAATCTGAGCACTGATTTAAAATAAATTCAGTGGTGTTAATATCCCAAATAGAACAGTACGCTTCCCAGATGAGAAGCAGCAGGTCCTGCCCTGAGCGCCTTGTCCAAAGCACTGATCTACAATAAAAGTCTGCCTGAGGATGGCAGCATCAGATGAACGGCACCATTTGTTCCCATCATCAGGCTTTCATCAGCTGACAGTCCCTGCAAGGAAGGTGCTGGCATCACAGCTATGAGCATTTCCTGATTATTTGCTGCGAGCGTGGAGGATGGATGTATTTCTCATGCTGTTTTTGTTTCCAGTGACACACCATCCCCGCAGACAACAGGGATTTCTCTAAGTAGGCCCTAGTGTTTTTGAAAGATTAGTTGTTACTTAACTGCTAAGCTAAATCAGTCAAGCAGAGAATCACAACTGCATTGTTCAGAAGCAATTGCAGATTCTCCATGTGCCAAGCAGAAGAGAGTTGCCTCGAGAAGGAACATGTATGCACACACATACCCACGTTGTACACCAAGGAGGTGAAAACCCTGTGCGTTGCAGAGCAACCACTCAATTAATACTCAGTGCTTCTCTGCTACCCTTGTTGGGCTTTGTATTCCTTTCCACAGCAGTTCTTGTTATGTTTAGTGGTACTTCAGTCAGTTACAAGTTGCACTTCATCTTTAATTTAAAAGTATTTCCACCTGGCTCTACAGATGCTCACTAGCAAATTGTCAGAGGATGCTTCTGGAGCAGGTGATCTACATGTATCCCCTTTTCAGGGATTGTGGATTAATGTTACAATTCTGTGAGTAAAGAAATCTCACTCTTGGGCTTAGTGTTGTAACATTTTCTCTCTCTTTCCTTGTTTTTTTTGTCTCAATTTGCAGCAGCACAGGATCTTTTGCAGCCGTTAACCTTCTAAGTTATTACTTGCCAGTCAGAAACCTGACTTGTTTAAAGACTGAAACAAAATGGAAGATTGGGGATACAGGTTCCTTTGAACCCGAGGACAAGTGACCTCAAAGCATCATGGACAACCATGTAAAATAGAATGTAGCAGCCATTTATTAGTAAAAGCAAAACAAAACAAAAAAATGAAAAAAAAAATGCCTGTCCTGGATCTTTTTTGGTGGTACCAAAGTTTAAGTCTTTGTGTTTTTAGAAGGACTACTGAACCTGATAGAGAAAATGCTTTCAATGAATCGTACGGATAAGCTGTGAAAGGAACTGACACTCCTTTCAACGCCGCAAACACTGATGACATCTGTCAGTTTCATCCTTTGCTTTTGAATTGTGATTGTTTTATGGAAAGAAATGTGTGTCTTACCAGATGGGCCAGCACCACGTTTGGATGGATGGATGGATGGATGGATAGGGCAGAGTTAGCCATACACAGTGCTTTTTAAAAGCAGACTGGAAATTCTCACACCCCTCTCCCTCGGCCCTCTCCTCCTCTGGTATTTTGCCTGCTGTATGAATTAACGATTGTACTCCTCTGGAAATATTTTACAATTTAATATTGAGTGTAATTAAGAATATAATCGCTGTTATCAAAAAAGGTATTTAACTCTGTTGTAGTTTCTTTATCATTCATGTGGAAAAAAGTCTATAATAAAAAAAAGAAAACTATGACATCATAGTTGAGCTTCGCTGTAATTTAATGCTGTGCTTACTCCACTAAAGAAAAGAACTGGGAAATTTATCCCTAAGAACATCTTTTTAGAAGTATTTTAATTCACAAATAACATGTCAAAGTATTTCATGGCAGAAATCCTCTGCCTTTGGTTATTTAGAAAAGATTTGGAAGTACGTATAGTGAAATGTCAGGATATTCCTTGTGGATCCACAGAAATAAAGGGAGACATGCCAAAGTCAGTTGACTTCTGAAGTCCACAGCAGCAGTCTTCCAATTCTTTTCCTGAATGTGCAACACTCTTGTCCATGATGTGCAACACCCCAATTACTAGGGCTTTCCTGTGTGAAATTCCTGCCCCAGGAAGTCCCAGCCATGGTGTCATCCCTGAGCATACAACAGCATACAATGTTGTCCACACCAATGCAGCACCACCGGATCTGAAAGCAGTTTCAGCCACCCCCAGCATTTGAATGTGTCACAGAGGTGCTCTCTCAGTATTCTCCTCATTCCCAGCAAATCCCTGGGAGACTCAGTCATCTGGTTTTATAGTTCCTTATATCCCAACAGATCGGGAAGGCAGGGAGGGGAAGAAGGGCACAGCCTGTTTTCATGCCCTTCCCTGCATTGTTTGCTCACGCAGTATGTGAGCTGACAGTACTCAAACACAAGACTCTCTGAGCTGGCACCATCATGGCTTTTGAGCATGGAAAAAGCAATGAAAGCACCAGAAAAGCTGGACCAGGTCAGACCAAAAGTTCATCTGTGCCAGTACCCTCTTCCCAATAATAGATGAAATCAGATACTTTTCTGAAAGCACACAAGCAGTTTGAATTATATTCCCAGAATGTAGTTTCAGCTTCTAATGATTTACTGCTCGTGGGTTTTTTTGATCTAGACATGATGTCTTGTTTTTAATAACCTGCAATGGATTTTTTTACTTACACAAACTCATCCAGTGACTTTTAAAACCTAGGCACACTTTTAGCAGCTTACAGTATCCTGTGGCAATAAGCTCCACAGCTTAAATACAGGCGGTGGGGGAAAAGCAAATCAGCTTCTGATGTTCAGAGCTGTCATCCTTCAGCCTCACTTTATGACCTGAGATGAGACCAGTTGTCAATTGACATCTGGCAATTCCTGTCCACTTTTCTATGCCAGTTGTGATTTCAAAGGCATCTATTGAACTTTTTTGGTTCTTTTTCCAGGTTGAAGAGTCACAGTAATCATAGAATCACAGAATCATTTGGGTTGGAAAGGACTTTAAAGGTCATCCAGTTCCAACCCCCTGCTATGGGCAGGGACACCTTCCACTAGATCATGCTACCCAAGATTCTGTACAACCTGGCTTTGAACACAGGCAGGGACGGAGGATTCACCACCTCTTTGAGCACCCTGTGCCAGCACCTCACCACCCTCACAGTAAAGAACTTCTTCATTTTATCTAACCTGAACTTCCCCTGTTTAAGTTTTAACCCATTACCCTTGTCCTGTCACTACAGTCCCTAATGAAGAGTCCGTCCCCAGCATCCCTATAGGCCCCCTTCAGATACTGGAAGCTGCTATGAGGTCTCCCCGCAGCCTTCTCTTCTCCAGGCTGAACAGCCCCAGCTTTCTCAGCCTGTCTTCATACAGGAGGTGCTCCAGCCCCTGATCATCCTCGTGGCCTCCTCTGGACTTGTTCCAACAGTTCCATGTCCTTTTTATGTTGAGGACACCAGAACTGCACACAGTGCTGCAAGTGGGGTCTCATAAGAGCAGAGTAGAGAGGCAGGATCACCTCCTTAATGCCTCCAACAGAAGCAGTCCCACAGCTTGTAGCCTTCATGCACCTTTTCCTGATCAGCCATATGCTTTTTGAGATGGAGAGTTGGCTACGTAGTCAAGATGCAGGATACTATATAGATTATAGTACAGAGTGACTTGATGATACTTTCTGTGATGAATGAACTTGACTGTAGAGTGGTGGTAAGATGTCTTACCACTACAGATCAAAAATTTTGCCCAGACATAAAGTAATCCCGTTGCTCAATAAGAAATTAACTGCGCTAATGGCTTCTGAGTGCCAGAGCTCCTGGATGTGGTCAGACATGCAGAGTAACCCCTTGTCCCTCCCCAGCTGAGAACCAGCCTGTTCAGACCCAAGAGCAGACACAGAGGGTCTACAGCAGATTGATTTGTTTTCTACTCCCTGCTAAAGCAGCGTTCAGACCATCATGTTCCCCAGTGACTTCCAACAGCAAATAAATAGTGAGTAAGTAGCATGTTGAAGTTGTGACTCTGTGTATTAAATGCACAGTTCACAGAAATGACAGAGTGGATATGCAACAAATATGTTTCAAATGGAACATTCAAACTTAAAATGACCAATTTGCTCTCAGTTAGGCTAAGCTCCCCAATCAGTAAATGGAAACACCACTTGTCTCGTTTGTAACTGATCTACAGATCGCAGCTGCAAATATTATGATGGAACATATGTCCCAGAATTAAGCATGAATGGAGTGTTTTGAATTAAAAAATCATCCCTTGCACTGATAAAGCTCAAGAACATGATCCTAGAAAACAAACACAGGGCAGCCACCGCCTAGACAAATCTACTTTGGTAAACAGCCAACAAAGCTTCTTATCACCATTTGCTTTTCGTTTGCTTTCCTCTTGTGCCAAAGTTTGCACACATTAAAGCGATAAGGTTCCCATAAAACACTTGTATTTCACATACTCAACCCTCGACCTTTACACCACCTTGCATCATAAAGGAAAGACAAAGAAAAGGGTACAGAAAGATTTACCCAGTAGCTGATAATGGCTGTTTATGCCTTATACCTACCCCAAAGCTGTGTCTATACTAGCGTCCCCTGTACTTAACTCAGCTGTATAGTTAAAGCATTGCAGTGGCCCTGACAGGGTTGTGCTTGAGCCCACTGATATCCTAGAGCACCGTTCTCAGCATGGCTGGTAAGTCAACCCATACTGCAGCCCTTCCCAATGGCACTTTGGATATGGCCACCCTGAGCTGAAAGATGAGGGCTTTGTGGTGTGAGTACAGCTCTTCGGTGCCACATGGGAATGGCCCCAGACACTGTTAATTTACTGGTACAGGTTAGCCCATATGGGTACCGTCCTTGCTATAAAGTAAGAGTTACTGTGGAAATTAAGCATTCAGATTTTCTTACACCTGACAACACCTTTAAAATACACTTATGGTTGACCAAATAATCACTTCTACAGCTGCTACCGCAAGAGAGGCGAAAGGCAGCAGCTGTATTACACACCTTAGTTTTAGCCTTTCTTTTATCAAAACCCCAAGAGAATGGCAAAAAAAAAAACACAGCACAGGCTACTGAGCTGTGATTTGATTTTTCCTGGCTGCGTGAATAAACAATAAACAGATTCAAAAGGCTCATTAGCAATTGACAGTCCTTTTATTATTCCCTCACAAAGCTGTGTTTCCATGAACTGCCCACAATGTCTCCAAACCCAGCTCTGTCCTTCAGACATGAAAGTGCTTCCCCAGGACTCAGAACCTACCCAGTTTGGTTCTGAGATACTTTAGCACAGTTAATTATGTTGAAGAAATAGCGCACCAAGAAAAAGCATGAAGATATGTGATTTCCCTTATTCATGAGCATTGGACCTCTTATGGGAATGTATACTTTTAGGTACCTTCAAACCATCTCCCTCAGGCTTTTTTTACCTTTTGTTGTCCTTGTTCTAAGATGGGAGGTGCAATCCAGTGACTCTTGAGCAAGTTATTTGAAGTAGAAAGTATATGTGAGCATTTACAGCTCTTCAGATGGACCATACCAACAAGTACACACCTTGATTATTATAAAAAAGTTATCTCTGCATGAATTGGCCAATTAAAGATGTTAACAGTGAAAATTTGGAAGTTTTGTCTGAACAGGGTATGGCAAGCAGGACAAGGCTCCACTATTTAATAGTAAACAAAATGTTTGCGTTGTTTGTGCTACTGAGCACCTCTTGACTGTTCCTGTGCCTTTTCTCCACTGTGAGGGGTTAAAGTTCAGATTTACTCTAAATTTATTTTTTTTTCCCAATACTTTTAATAAATCTTCAAGGAAGTTATGGAATCACAGAATCCCAGACTGGTTTGAGTTGGGACCCTAAAGCTCACCCAGTTCCAACCCCTGCCACAGGCAGGGACCCCTTCCACTGGAGCACCTTGCTCCAAGCCCCTGTGTCCAACCTGGCCTTGAACACTGCCAGGGATGGGGCAGCCACAGCTTCTCTGGGCACCCTGTGCCAGCGCCTCAGCACCAATTTCTGTTTAATTTTGAGCTTTCTGTTTGATAAAGAGGGAAAGCACTGGCACCTGCCCGAGTGAAAACTCCTCCCTTCCATGCCTTTTGTGGCATGTACAACATGGAACTGTTTTTTAACATCAGGCTTGTTCTGACTTGAAGCCAAATAAAAGGCCAGTAATGCCTTGGAGGACAGGAGAAGGTATTTATTGAGTGTCCTCCCCTATGGATAGTATAGAATGGATCACTGACCACTGATCACCTTAACTAAGAACGTACCTCCCTTTACCTGCAGGCCTCTCCTCCACTCTTCACCTCTCTAAAATGTGTTTAATGTAGCTCATTCACTGTTTTCTTACACCATAGAGGAAAATTCACAGCCATGGTCATTATCTAAATGCGCTCAGTGATTTGGACTGTGGACATCTGAAGCCCTGCCAAACAATCTCCAGGGACCTGGAGAGGTGTTTTGGTCCTGTTTGATACCAGTACCGAGGCAAGAGGAGCTGAAATTGTTTTCCAGCTCCCTATCAAGGCACAGTGCAAAAATGAGTCAATCTCCTTTGTTTGCTCTGAAATATGTGCCAGCCCGAAGTGTATTAATGTTGTGTGTGAAGGCATGAATGAGAAAGGAGTGCCCACCCTGGGGCACCACTCCTTCTCTGGTCACAAAGCACAGGTAATCGCACTTTTGAGCAGATAACTCAGTCCAGTTGCCAGCTCAGCTCCAATCTCCAGCAAGGATGAGGGATTTCTGCAGAGCAAAATGAGGTCCACATCTGTAGAGATGCGACTTCCTTAACAGAGGCATGTAAAGAGGTGCAGAACAACGTTGATGGTATCCTCGTGCCTGTGGTGCAGTGAAGAACAGCTAAGCCAGGCTGCAAGAAACACTAAAACAAAGTATGTTTGAAACCCATCACTAAACTGCCCATCACCAGTTAACAGCTCAATGGCTTTTTAAATTCCTGCCTCCTTGCTTTCGGTGTGAAGACCCAGGCTGGTCTGCCAAACACCCAAAGAACGGAGATGGGGCTCAGACTTACTGTGGTCCTGTAGTCAGCCCTTGTCCCTTGTCCCTCACCTGCAGACCACCCAGACCAAGCAGCTGCCTGCCCTCACCCAGCCTGCTGGAGGAGACCCAAAGGCACATCAAAGGCATGTTTCTTGGGTGTGTTTCTTGCATGCTTCTGAATAAGGCAGTTCTGTTGGAGGAGTTCATGCAATCAGCACATCAGGAAGGGTCCAGTACACAACAGAAGCACTGGCAGTGCTCTAGTGGAGACCAGCCATGTGTCCTTCTCCACCAGAAAGATCATGAAAGGAACTGCAACAAAAGGACAGCAAGTAAAGCTTCTCTTTGATCCACCTCCAAACCTTATTGATTGGCTACAAACGGAACAGATTATTCTGCCCTAACAAAAACCACAGAGAGAAGGAAGTAATCAACAGAGGCAAATGAAGTGAGCAATTAGCCTGAAACCCTTCAGACCAGCTTTACCTTCATGCAAGGTCTCAGCAGCACAATGCTAATGCAAGGATCTACAGCAGTCGCAAGGTAACCCAGAAATCTGTAATCTTATTCTGCTCTAGATTTAAATCACCGTGGTTTATTCTCTTTTCTCAAACTGAAGGGTGACACTGAGGACATCTTACTGCTGTGCCAAAAAGAGATTGTGTCATGGGGGCTGGAGGATTCTGTAGTAAGCACGTGATCTTTTACTTTCAGTAATAGCTCAGCTTTCCTTAGACCAGAGAGATTTAATGTGAGATCCTGAAACAGCATCTAGGCCAACTTTTTCGTTTATTCACAGACAGATGCACAAATAGATAAGAGGCAAAGCCTGGACAGTCTGCTTAGCCGTAACATTATGCTGCCTGGTTTTACTGTCCAAGCTTTATGAAAACAGCAGTTGTTGCAGATCCCTCTGATTCATGTTAACAGGGGGGGTGATGGTTGTAGCGACAGGACGAGGGGTGATGGTTTTAAACAGAAAGAGGGAGGATTCAGACTAGGTCAAAGAAAGAAATGTTTTATGATGAGGGTGCTGAGGCGCTGGCACAGGGTGCCCAGAGAAGCTGTGGCTTCCCCATCCCTGCCAGTGTTGAAGGGCAGGTTGGACACAGGGGCTTGGAGCAAGCTGCTCTAGTGGAAGGTGTCCCTGCCCATGGCAGGGGCTTGGAACTGGATGAGCTTTAAGCTTCCTTCAACCCAGACCAGTCTGTGATTCTGTGACTCTATGTCATACACAATATTTCCATGGGAGCAGCATTTCAGAGCTGGTGTTAGTCCTCATATAAACATGAGTATGGATTTGGCTTGGCTTTTCCCCTACAGGGTTGCATTTTCTTCAGTCACTTGCTTTTTTCTAATGCAACCTGTGGCTACACAGATTTTCCACTATAATTCCATTTTGAGTTAAGCATGTTGATGCAAAGAGAGGAGAGCCTGAAGTGCAACATCTAAGACTTTAGATAGAAGCTCCTTTTATTTCTGAGAACATATTGGCAATTTATTCTTGAGTTTATTAACTGAATGTCATCAGGGTACATCCTGTGACTCCACATTTTTTTTCTATAGAAAAAGAGCTAGAATAGAATACAGTAATGATTGGAAATCTGTACCACACTGCAAGCTGGAAATAGGGCTGCGTGTGTCTGTGTGGCAGCATCAGTACAAGGTCACACCTGAATCTGACTTGAGCACTTGATTTTTATCCCGTTTACTTTACAGTAATAAGCTGTGTGATAGTTTTAAGCTTCTACAAGAGGAATATTATCATAAAAGCAAGAGACAGGAGATCCCCTTGAAATTCCCAGCCATGCCACAGGCTGTCTAACCAATATGAGGCAAATTGTTCCCCTCAGTTTCCCCGACTTGACATTAGGCTCATGATTTATCCTTGCCTCACATACTTACTGTTATAGAAAGCTTCATTCATCATTTTTAGAAACTGCATTCTTGGATGAGGGTTTGGAACCAGGCAGAATTTCTGTGGTAACATAATATTATTTGCACAAAGCAAGAAATGGTATTTTGGACACCCATTATCTTTCCATCCAGCTGTTGGTCATTCCTAGCTATTTTCTTATGTGGTGGCTGAGAGTTTTTACAGGAGTTAAGCATTCCACTTCTGGGGGCAGTAAAAGAAAAGGTATAACCTCCACTCAAGGAACCTGGTCTCAGTTACCCTTCCTGCTAAAGTATCCCTGTGTGTCCTATGGCAAATTGGTTTGGGGTTAGGTAAAACTGTGCGCTAGGCTTGCTACAGCGTGATGCCAACATGCTTGTCCATGCCAAAATTAGATGCCATAGACAAACACAAGGTCAAAACTCAGACACCTGGGGAAGCTCATTGCCTCGAGGGAAACATTCAGGGTTTTCATGTCAGATTAAATTCTGCCTTTTGGATATGTCCCGTACCTCATCCTGTTTTGGTTTCCAGTCCGCAAAATGGCAATGGCAGAATCTGTCTCACAAGGAAGTTGTCAAGGGAAGTTCACATTAGAGATGGTGAAAGACTCAGATGTCACAAATGGATCTAAAATAAATATGCTGGGTTTCAAAGTTACACTGCAATCCGAATGTCTGTTGGCTCTCCTTTTCAGGATGGTCCGTGCTGGCGATGAAGGTTTCCACAGCATGGTGGTTTCCAAGGAAGAAGGTGTTTCACTTTCCTGTTTGTTTTCATTAGCATTTAAAATTAGTTCTGCAGTGTTCGTGTGGTGACTGTGTGGTGACACTGCTGAGAGGTGCCAGGCAAAAGCAGTCTTATCAAGCATGAAAGATTAGCAGAAACTGAGTGTTGCATGGGCTCAAAAGGAATGAATCAGCCATGTTAGACCTGTTTCTATTGAGGTTTTAGAGTGGGAAGAATGGTGGAAATAAAATGCTGTTGCAGCAGAAGAGAGTGTGGGAGACTTGGAGGCACAGGGTTGGATAGGGGATGTAAGACCTATCCACCAGGGAGTGAAAAAAATTCACTCCTTTAAGTTTGGAATTAAATCCAAGAACAAAAAAGAACAGAAACAGATTGAAAAGGGTGGAAGTGGATGGAAAGTGCTGACGAGACAGGCAGTAAGATTCATTCAGGATCCTGCTGTGTCTTTACTGTGAGTAGGTAGATAATATACGGAGTAACTTTGTGGTCTGACAGTGCCTGGCAGACTTTTCCACCCTCAGATCCATAGGGCTGGGTGTCAGTCTCAGACCTGAAAAGCAGTTTTGCTTTGTACCTTGGTAGATAAAGAACCATCAGTTAATGAACTGATCTGTGATATTTAAAAGAAGAAGTATTTCCCAGGTATGCCTTTTGGATCGCACCCCTCCCTCCATGGTTTGCAGCAGGACCGTCAGTATTTGCAGCCTGTAGCAACCTGGGGTCATTTAGCAAGAACTTTAGATTCTTAAAGCTGTTTGTTGGCAGAACTCACCTGTAATTTCCATACTCTCTTCAAGGTTCACCACCATCTACTTACGAGATCATCATGGTGTCTCTCAGTGGAAGCCTCTTACTGTTGGTTGCCATCAGCGCAGCAATAAGTGTTCTCCGGAGGTGAGTGTTTGGGCAGTAGGAGAGGACCCAGGGCTGCCAAGGAAACGTGTGCAGTGAGGAATTCCTGCAGGAGCCCCGTGTTGTCAGGGAGCCCACGGGAACAGCCTGCCAAACCCTAGTGCTTCTTGGGCTTCTCCATCAGCCCATCTCGGGGTGCAATAATGGTGGCTGGAGAACTGCTATGATGGGTGCCTGGGGAGTATCAGTTTAAGGCAATGACATTTGGTTTGGGTTTATATCTGGTCCAAATTCTTTTCCCCATTCCCAGACTTTATTTATGTATGTGGACTGAAATTTTATTGAGGAAAAATAAGAGACCCAGGCCCTTCATTTCTCACTACTGCCAACATTTTCTGTTTTTTTTTTTCCAAGAGCAACCTGAGCTCACAGAAGAGGGATGTTCCCTGAGATAATTATTTCTATTATGAGAAATTATGTTTTGAGAAATCTCTTCAACAAAAATTCTGCTCAGCTTTAGTACGAATGCATCCAGCCAAATGGAGAAGAACAACGGGGTCATAAGACATGTTTTATACTAAAGGGCAGAAGACTGAGGGAGAGAAAAAGGTCACCTCCATAATGACTTAAATCAGCTCTATCCCAGCTGCTAGTTCTGTACTGCCATTAGTTATATCCTGTTATTAACTGAATCGCATCCAAAATACAAGCAGCTCTTCACGGCTTGTTTTGCTCCATTTTTGCCATGCCAGGTGGTGCACGTCGAATTACTCATCCAAAAATCTCAGTGCACCTGCGGTGGTGGAAAACGTAACAGTGGCAAACAGAAGCTCTGATAAGATTTCAACGGTGGATTTCACTGGCCCGGTGTGTATCAGTTACATTTCTGGCACGAGAACTGTATCCCCGGCCAGAGTTTGCGATCCATGACGGGATAAGTTCCATTGGTGAGCCATTGTTCTCCTTTGATGTCTCAGTTATGTGCCCCGATTCAGTGCCAGAGCAGTGATGACCCACAACTTCTTCCACCTGTAGCTTTCTTCTGGAGACAAAAGGACTTTGGGGTGTATGCTGGGGAGCTGACAGACTGACACAACCCACCATAGATTTGGACTGTGAACTCGTACTGCACCAGTACTGGAAAATGCAGGAAAATGGAATTTTTTAATCAACGTGGAATTTTTTAATCAAAGTGGAGAAAAAGCTGCCTAAGGAAGTTGTGGCTGCCTCATCCCTGGAAGTGTTCAGGTTGGACAGGCCTTGAGGAACCTGCTCTAGGGGAAGGTGTCCATGCCCATGGCAGGGGTTGGAACTGGATGAGCTTTAGGGTCCCTTCCAACTCAAACCAGTCTGGGGTTCTTTTCTTTCTCAGCTGCCTTGGCACTAGGGAGGCCTTCCTTTTTGCCAAGCCGTTTAGTTTTCTCTTTCCCTCCATCTTTTTCCTTTTGCTGTTCTTCTGCCTGACAAGATCAATAAATTCTCATTGTAGCCTTTGCGAAGAACAAAGGGCTGTAAAATTGTAATGCTTTAACTTTTTTGTTTGAATACTTTTCCCTCTTCTGTACCTTATCTCTGTGATGTGTGGTGTTAAAAATTTACCATAAAGACATGCATCTTTCCATATTATCTCTTTCTGGGGGATGAGTCATGAGGAAAAAAAGACTGGGGGGATTTCTGGTAATTTTTACAAAGATTTCCCAATCCCTCTGACTCACAGGTGAGTCCCTCACACTGTGCTGAGACCTAACCTTTTGCACATGGTTTCCTACTACATAATACAACTAACTCTGTGGCTGTGCTGAAGTTATTGGACAGACTCCAATCTCTTAAGGCACCAGGTCTGTGGTTTTGTTTTTAATCTGCCCACTTTTACAGCCTCAAGGAAGACACCATCTATTAATCGTTAAACTGAGCGCTCCAACCTTCCTGGCACTGATGACCTCTGCCCCTGGTGTGGCATCCGCTTGCTAAGGAACAAGCCAGGCTGTTCTCCCTGTACGGGTGGCAGTTACAGGGAGCAGGTTAGTCTAGGATCTGGTATGGAGAGGGATAAGTGTGTTCCTTGGCCTTGTCCAACTCATCATAGAATCAGCTGGGTTGTAAAACACCTTTAAGCTCATCAAGTCCAACCATTCCCCAGCAGTGCCAAGGCCACCCCTAACCCATGGCACTGAGGCCTCGTCTCCACGCTGTGTGAACACTTGCAGGGATGGTGACTGCAGCCTGTTCCAATGCCTGAGCACCCTCTGGGGAAGGAATTGTTCCTCAGCTCCTTCTAAACCTGCCCTGGTGCAGCCTGGGGCTGTTTCCTGAGACACCCCTTCTCTTTGCTCTCCTTAATACCCCTGCTTGCTCTTCAAGCTGCTCACTGCACAGAGACAAAATCCCACCTTTCAGAATTCATGGAGCTGTTCCCTCATCCTTCTCTAAATCCCTCCTTAAGACCTGCTGCTGCCTCAATGCCTGCAGATCCTGACTGTCTGACAGCATTGAGGCAGGGCAAAGCAGAGGCTTCTAATTCTCTGATAAAGTCTGCTTGGTTGGCCTGCTTTTGATATCCACCATCTTCCAGCTGAGACATGGACTGGAAAATACCTACTCCTGTCATCTCAGAAAGGTATCTATATAGTACGGAGCACAGCAGGCTTTGTTTCTGGACTGGTGTGTTTCAGCATGAGCACAATGCCAGCGGTGACTGGGATGAAGATGCCAATAATCATAGTATAATATAATGTAACATAATGTAATACTGATCTGTTGATTAGTCCAAGATGAGCAGCAGTGTGTGTGCGTGCACACGCACTAGACAACAAATGACATTTTAAGGCTGTTACTACAATAAACTTAGGAAATGGCATCAAAAAATGCAGGTGTAAATTCAGAATTTTGTCTGTGTTTTTCCCTTGTTCTTCAATCCCCAGGCAGTCCTTTTCTGTGTGAATTAATGTCCTCTGAAGGCACAAAGCTGGCAGGCTGTGTTGTGGAAAGGAATAGCTATTCACTGTCCAAATTAGGAAGGGAAGAGAGGGTACTGCACAGCACATTTAATGTCACAGATAATACAGAAATCTTTTCTGTAGCTGCTCAAGGATAAAAAACAGATGTACTGGTTCTTACCCCATACTCTCAAATGTACAAAATATGCTGCATTCCCAGTTTTGATAATTAAAGCAAACAACTTGACATTCAGTTGTTCTGTCCTGGTTACATACTCAATTTGTGCTTGCAAAAGATGCCTTATGTCTGTAGGATACATCATTAACCTTTGCAGTGGTTTGACACTGCAACAAGTATGATGAATAAAGGATGACAAAGGCCTTAGTATAAGAGGGGTTTATTTATAACACCAAATTGAGACACAGAACCTAAATTTTTCACATACATGGAGTTTTTCAGTTAATGGAGTTTTTCATGGTAGAGATGGTTATGTGGGAGGCAGTTTTAAGGATTCAGTTCCTTGATTCAATACAGTTCCACACAGTACAATGGTTCGTGACTGTTCACAGACCCATTAAGGTAAAACCACAATACAGAGAGCTTCTTTCTGGGCTCTGAAGGTGGGTATTTTAAGTTTGCTGATTTTCAGCTATTGAGGGATGACCAGGGCCACTGGCAAAGCTCATCTGGACACACACATTTTTTATCAACCAGTTAACGTGAAGCACTGAAAATGGTGTGTTCCCAGTAAAACTTAAGACTTCTAATGACTTCATTAGTCATTAGAGAAGTCAAATAAGGGTAAAAGAATTGTCACCAACAGAACACTTCTTTTCACTTTCAGCTTGGGATGGGTTGGGCCCATTTCCAGCCTTTCCTGTGTCTTAAAAACAATATTCTGCTGATAGTAGGCCAAGTGCAGGGTCCTGCCCTTGGGCTGGGGCAACCCCAACACAAACACAGTCTGGAGGAGACTGGATGGAGCAGCCCCGAGGAGAAGGACTTGAGGGTGTTGGGTGGGGAGAAGCTTCCCATGACCTGGCTTCAGTGAGCGCTTGAGTCCAGACCCCCCAGAGCGTGAGCAGCAGCTCAGGGAGGGGATCCTGCCCCTCTGCTGCTCTCTGGGGAGACCCCCCCCTGCAGTCCTGATCCAGCTCTGGAGCAACAGCACAAGAGGGACCTGGAGCTGTTGGAGAGAGGCCAGAGGAGGCCATGGAGATGCTGCGAGGGCTGGAGCAGCTCTGCTCTAGAGCCAGGCTGAGAGAGCTGGGCTGGGGCAGCCTGGAGAAGAGAAGGCTCCTGAAGGGGAGACCTGAGAGCAGCTCCAGTGCCTGAAGGGGCTGCAGGAAAGCTGGAGAGGGGCCTGGGACAAGGGCCTGTAGGGACAGGCCAAGGGGAATGGCTTTAACCTGCCAGAGGGGAGACTGAGATGAGCTCTTAGGCAGAAGCTCTTCCCTGTGAGGGTGCTGAGGCGCTGGCACAGGGTGCCCAGAGAAGCTGTGGCTGCCCCATCCCTGGCAGTGTTCAAGGCCAGGTTGGACACAGGGGCTTGGAGCAAGCTGCTCCAGTGGAAGGGGTCCCTGCCTGTGGCAGGGGTTGGAACTAGAACCCAAACCATTCTGTGATTCTGTGGTTCCATAATAGTGTATGTAAAGTATCTAAAGGAGGAAATTGTCAAAGCCAGTTCAGAAGACAAACTCAAAAAGATGGTGGCAAGTGAGGCAAAGGGTGTAAGGACTGATGTCACGAGGATACTTCCTTCGATATTTACTTCCTTTGGTATTTACTCCCTTTGGTATTTACTCACGAGGAATAAACTAATCTAATCCTGAAAACTTGCATGCAACAAGATCAAGTGTTGTTGTCTGTAGAGGATGGTTATATCCGAGGAGCTCTGCTCTGTCTGATGCTATGGAACAATAAACAGAGAATAAAAATCACCGAGGTCTTCACAATCCTTCACCAGCCTGAAGTTTAATCCTTTGACATCTGTAAGGTGGTTTAAATCTCTCCTTTATGGTGATGGACTGCACTCTCCACATGACACCACAGGAATTTACTGCACTGAAATGTAACATCTTAATGAATGAAAAATATAATGCTTTCTTTCTAATGCAAGCAACTCTGTCTGGTTTTGCCTTCAACCACGATTCAGAGATCCCGTAACTCATGATTCAGAGATCAGGCCCGTGTGGTCGTTAAGTTGCCATGATAGATTTTACAAAGGGGAAAATCAAGTCAGGTTTATGTAAGCTTGATAGCAGCTGCTCTTTGGAAATACATCTTAATTATGGGTAAAAATACTAAGCCATAACTTGTATACTTATCTTAAAAACCTAATTTTTTTTTATCTCAGGGCCATAATTTTAAACATTAGCTCTTTGCTGGGGTTAGTATTTATTTATAGTTGGATACGGTAAGCAGATAGCCCAGGAAATGCTGCTTGAGGATGGTGGTTATTAGATGTGCCTGTTAGTGACCCATCATATTTATCTGTATTTAATTATAGAATTACTGCCATAATGCCCTAAGTCATGCCTGAGAGCAAAAGGTAGTTCCATTTGTGAGACCACTATCTGCCAGCACTCACAACTTCTTAAAAACTGTAATGGCCTTTGGGATGAAATCTTTTCAATATTGACTTTCTCTGCATGTAGCGGGTTTGGTAAAAATCAGGATCAGGTTTTCTTCTATTTATAGATACCCAGAAAAAGATGGTTTGAATGGTTAACAAAAGCTTTTTGTAAACTTTGGGGTGGGCCTGGGTAAGTAGAAATGGCTCCATTTTGAAGTGTTAAGATGACAGGATTTAGCAGGTTTGTACCCATACCACATTTAAAAATCTAGATGAGGAATACAGAAGTTATTTTGGGATTCCTGAGCCTGCAAGGTGTGTGTTCATGGTGCTGGTGTGCTCGAGTGTTCCCTCTAACTGTCAGCATGAGTTAAGTCAATCCTACACAAAAGTGTTTGCAGAATCAGAGCCAACATTTGGGAATGTTTTGAGCTTTCATATAATAAAAGCTTCAGCATGTGCTTAAATAATATTGATCTCACTGGAATTGCAATAGATACTTTACTTGCTTCCCTTAACTGAGATTATGTTCCTTTTTGAGACAGAAATGTTAAATAATTTCGACCAGGTGACAAAGCTCTGATGAATAGGTTTGATTTTTTGTTCTCTGTTCAATGTCTCTTATTTAACTGTAGTAATTTGGAGGTAAGTTAGTACAGTAATATATGGTATGGGTCTGATGATCGGGTACCACTTTCTCTTGCTTCCAGTTCCAGCTGTTAAAATACGATGTTATTCGATAGTAATGATAATCTAGAGGCATCATACTACATCATCAGCTATACTATATCATTGACCGTACTATGTCATCAGCTGTACTAAAGGAAGTGTTTTGGAAAGGAAAGGAGAAGACAAGAAGAAGCTGAGGCCTGGGTTTCTTCGTGGCTAATTCGCATGCTGTCTGAACATCTATAGATCCCAATGCTTAATTAATCACTGAAGTATCAGGTCACCTCATGCTTGCTGGTGAGTGGAGCTCTGAACCCAGAGCTGAAGCACAGAGATAAAGTATTGATAAACTGTGAATAATTTGCACACATCATATGATCATATCACAAGTCTTCGGCAGAGAGAAGAACTGAGGTGGGTCAGTACACCACATTAAGCCCAAAGTTACCATTTCTATGATGGTGATGAGCCCAGTATCCATCACAGCGCAGTGGTTATACAAATATTGTACCCTGATGGAGTAATAAAAGCCACCAACCATCAGGAGCGAAGAGGTTTGCATAGTGTAAGATCCCTGAGAAATTAAATCAGTGTGATCGTGTAAATTTCCCCCTTCAGCCAATAGGACTGAAAGAGACAAGGGAAAAAAAAAATGTGTATGCATCGATAACTACACAGTATCCCTGAGTTCCAGTTATTATTGTTATTTGGCCGCAGAATCAGAGGCCCTGATCAAACCAGTAGAATATAACTGTTTTCTTTGGGATTGTCCTAAGAATCCTGACTTCTGCTGTCATGATGTTTTGGATGAACAACAGTTGGGATCTGAGGTAAACATGTAAAGGAATATATATAGAAAATATACAGGGAAGAACCCCTTGATATTATCCATATGAAGTATATATACAAACTATATAGTGTGTATAGATATAGTATATACACATATATATATTATGAAATACAGTATAGAATCATGTAATCCCAGACTGGTTTGGGTTGGAAGGGACCTTAAATCAGTTCCAACCCCCTGCCACGGGCAGGGACACCTTCCACTAGAGCAGGTTGCCCCAAGCCCCTTCCAGCCTGGCCTTGAACACTGCCAGGGATGGGGCAGCCACATAAACAAATATAAAAAAAATATAAGTAATATATCTTATAAAATATCATAGAATCAACTATGGAAAAGGTTGGAAAAGTCCTTTAAGACCACCAAGTCCAACCTTTACCCCAGCACTGCCAAGTTCACCGCTTAAACATGTCACTAAGGGCCTCATCTACACAGTTTGTGAACACTTGCAGGGGCGGCGACTCCAGCACTGCTCTGGGCACCCTCTTCCAATGCCTGAGCACCCTCTGGGGAAGAAGTTGCTCCTAATCTCCATCTAAACGTCCCCTGCTGCAGCTTGGGGCTGTTCCCTCTTGTCTTATTATTAGAATCATAGAACAGTTAGGGTTGGAAAGGACCTTAAGATCGTCCAGTTCCAACCCCCCTGCCATGGGCAGGGACACCTCACACTAAACCATGTCACCCAAGGCTCTGTCCAACCTGGCCTTGAACACCATCTGGGATGGAGCATTTGCAACTTCCCTGGGCAACCCACTCCAGTGCCTCACCACCCCCTTCTCACCTGGGAGAAGAGACTGACCCCCCACCTCAGTATAACCTTCTGTCAGGCAGTTGTAGAGAGCAGTAAGGTCCCCCCTGCGCCTACTCCTCTCCAGACAAATACGTGTGCATTTACATATTTATGTCCATAACGTTACATATTCATAGAAATATACACATACGTAAATGAGAATACAAACGTAAAAATATATAAATGTGTAAGACTGTAAAAACCTAAATACATAACTGCACACATACATAAGGATAACACCACGGCGGCTCACGCTGCCGACCCCACCGCCGTCGGGCTCGCGGCAGGACCCAGCACCGGGCCGAGCGGCCCCGCCCCGCCCGAGGCCCCGCCCCTTCACGGCTCCCACCTCCCCGCCACGTCGTTCTGCGCGCCGCGGCGGCGCTGGGCCATGGCGTTCACGTTGTACTCGCTGCTGCAGGCCGCGCTGCTCTTCGTCAACGCCGTGGCCGTGCTGCATGAGGAGCGCTTCCTCCGTCACGGTGAGCCCGGGAGAGCGGGGCGCACCCGCGGGCCGGCAGCGTGGCCGCCGGCACCGCCCGGCCGCCGCCCGTGCGCGGAAAGGCCTCCGGGCTTCGCGGGGACCCCGTTCCGCCCCACCGAGCCGGTGTCGGGCATCAGTTGCGCGGAATGCCGTCGGGGGGGTTTAGGTCCTGAAGTCCGGGGGGTATCGCTCCTGTCGTTGTGTTGTTTCTTTCTTTCTTTAATTCCATCATTTTAGAGGGTTTTTGTTTTTTTTTCTTTTCCTGTGCTTTTTGATTCTTCCGCCCTCATCTGCGCCATACGTCGCGATAGCGTGAGGTTTCTTTCATCCTGTCGTTGCCCTTGTCTTGATGAGATGGCACTTCTCGGTCTTGGCACCTTTGTGCTTCCGCGGTACTGGAGAAATTACTGAGGCTGCGCATCCTCATTCTCAAAACAAAGCCCCACAAAGCACACAGAAGCCACTGACACAGATCTGCACACCCCCAGGACAAATGACCTGTGGTCCAGGGTTTCACAGTCTCCTGGTGGGGAGAGTCCAGACTTCCCTAAGGCTGAGTGAGGTTTTTGGCAGGAGTGCAGACAGTTAGCCTGTTGTCCTGTTCCCTGGAAGGATTTGCAGTGAGGGATCTGCTCAGTTCGTGTTTGGGGTTTTCTTGTTGAGCAGCAGTTCGATGGAAATGAAGATGGGATTGGCAGGACGGGTGAAGTCTCTTGTGGGCCCCACGTGATTTGGGAGTAGCAAGGGAGATGGGAAAGGGGGAATCAATCTCTCAGAAGTTACCTGTGGAGAAAAACACAGAGGTTGTGAATGGCTTTAACCTGCCAGAGAGGAGACTGAGGTGAGCTCTTAGGCAGAAGCTCTTCCCTGTGAGGGTGCTGAGGCGCTGGCACAGGGTGCCCAGAGAAGCTGTGGCTGCCCCATCCCTGGCAGTGTTCAAGGCCAGGTTGGACACAGGGGCTTGGAGCAAGCTGCTCTAGTGGAAGGGGTCCCTGCCCGTGGCAGGGGTTGGAACTGGATGAGCCTTAAGATCCCTTCCAGCCCAGAGCAGTCTGTGATTCTACGAATGTCAAAGGCCTCTCCCAGCTCTGCTCTTGAACATTCCCAGATGGTCAAGGGACGCAAAATTCCCTGGTCCCGTTGCTGGGACCACATGCTTGGCCTTTCTGCAGCAGGTGGGGAAGGGTTTCTCCCTTGAAGGGCTTTGTAGACCTGCAGCACCTCGATGTCCCTCTGAAAACCTCCTAAGGAACTGTATTTTTTTTTTAATAGTAGTCACAAAAATCACTATTGTGGTTTGGGATTCGTGCTGACCCTTTTCTGTCATATAGCTCCTTTCTCAGTGCTGAAGCATCATTTCATACCCGACAAATATTTGCTATTTTATCTTCTAGTAAACAACCATGATGTAGTTTGGTTTTATTTTGGAGGGTATTTTTAAACCCAGATACACTCCTTTGTTCCTCTGGCATGAAGAGAATGGTAGCCTATTAAAAAAGTAAGGGTTTCCTTCAGAGAAACATTGATTTGTTGTTAGTGTTTCATTCATGAAAATGTTTTTTAAGTTTTCAGTATATTGCATTAAATTCTGATTGTGAACTAAAACGAATTGGTTTACGTTAATTAATATAAACCCTATTCAAGACAGATAACCCATTAATATTGCTGACAGCATTTGTTGTGTGGTTTTGGTGTTTTTTCTTCTAACATGTCTGGCTGGACTTATGTGACACAGTTGGTTGGGGAAGCGATCAAGGGATTGGAGGATTTGGAGAGGAACCAGGAATTAAAGCTCAGCTAACGAACCTCATTCGATCCATACGAACTGTAATGAGAGGTAAGGCTTTGGTTTCAGATATTACCGCCTGTGAAGTTTCTGTGCTTTAATGAAGTACCATCATTGTTTTCACTCTTCTTTTCTACCAGAGAGTTGCTATTTCTGCTCGTCATTCCCAATCTGTCCTTCCTTCACGTCTGGATTCTCTGTAGAAGGGCACAGGTCCCAGCTCAGGTGCCCTAATTTGGATAAAGTTTAAAACGTTCCCTTATTCTGGCTTGTGGTGCCACTGCTGCATCTTGTCTTTTCCTTGGAATTTGGGAGCTTGAGGGGAGGATCAATCAGAGAGTGCAGTTATCTTCACCATTTGAAGTGCCTGGTGAGGGAAATGTAATTCCTGGTATTCTTAAGGGTAAGCCAGGCTTATATACCTCAACAGATGAGGGGCAAAAAAGAAAAAAAAAGACTCTTTAATTTGTAAGTTACTGGTGTTTTTTCCCTATAAAGCACACCAAAAATTCTTTTTAAAGGGGATGATAAAGAGGAAGTAACAAATCATTATTTTTTTGCCCACACAGAGCTGATGCATTTCTTCTAAATCAGAGCAAAGCCAAGGCTGAAAACTGACTTTGAGACGGTTTAGTTTCATTTGGTGAAGGGGTTGTTTGGGTTAGAGTTAAAACATGATGGGCCACAGAAAAATATTAATGATGTTGCTTCCTACTAATTTTTAGCTTCCTAAGCTTTGATCCTGGCTCCTTCCACTAATCCTGGATTTGGGCAGCAAAATTAAATGCATTTTCAAGATTTTGATTGATTTTGCTCCTTAGTCTCCTGAGATAATGCAAAGTTCTGTCACTGGGATGTGGAAAAGGAAATTTCTACAATTACTCCTCTTCTTTCCCTGCAGTGCCACTCATAGCAGTGAACTCCATTACAATCATTCTCCTCCTGTTGTTTGGTTGAAGACACCTGGAGAAAAACATTTTGGATGGCCAAAGAAGCAAGTTATGAACCATCACCACTGAGTTTTTGGGGATCCGGCACGGTTTAGCTGTCCATCTGACATTCAACTTAACATAATAAAGACACTATTTCTATTTATCCTATTTCCTAATTGCAGTTTCATTACACAAGATACGGGGATCAATGCAACAACGCTGCAAATATGTTGGACTATGACAAGTTCTGTTGCTGCCTGTTCGTAACGCTGGCTGTTGGTGTGCGCGTCGCCGGGTGTTGCCGCGGTTGTCGATCATATGCGGTTTTTAAATGTCTCATTCCTCAGGGATGAATCTCCTTTATTATCCTTCACAATTTGTTGTTAAATTAAAAAAAAAGTGGGTTTTATTCCACTTGCTACCACAGTACTTTCAAAAGAATGCAAATTAGGCTCTGAAAACATTATAAATTACTGAGGTCCAATTGTGATACTGAGAGATCAAATGTTATAAATTCTGAATTCCAGTTTTATCCCCCTCAATATTACAACATGTTGTAAATTAGTGAAGTTCAGTTGTGATACAGAGAGATTTGTGATATTGAGAGGAGATAAAGCATGTCATAAATTACTGAATTCCAGTTGTGATGTTAAGAGGAGATCAAGCATGTTACAGATTTCTGAATTCCAGTTGCGATATTGAGAACAGATCAAACTGGGTAAAATCCTAACTCAGTTTACATTGGAAATCAAATTTTCCTGGTTTGATTGAGACCAGGATTTTCCCTCTGTGTTTCATAACCTTTTCAAACCAGTAATGGTGGCAAAGTAAGTTGAAATTGGGTGCAATTGCTATGCAAAACCTAAAAAAGCTGTACCTGGAGCTGGGTTACTGTGCTGATTTAGACTAGCGAGTGATATTAGTGACTAGTGTTTGTTACTGCTCTGTTAAGGATTATTATACATTTCTTAAAATGTGTGTTAAAAAATTGTTTGTGGTGATTAGTGTGCTGGAAGTGGGGAACCATTTGTATTCTGAGCTTCTTGGGAGGAGAATACTGTGCCCTTTTCAAATGCAATTTTCATTTAAAACGAGCTTATTTGCAGCTTCTTTTGTTACTGATGCTTCTTCCCTGCCCTCCATCTTCATTAAAGAACAGCTTGGAAGTTGACAGTGTGATCTGGCAGTTGTGTTGAAGAAACACTGCTAATTGCTTTGGTACAGACCTTGTCTGAGTTAAGCCTGTCAAGTTAGGTCCGATGTTACATAGGAAGTGTGAAATTAAGGACAATTCTCATGTACCTTTTCAGAAAAGCTAGAACTCTTACATCTGTTCCTGTGCTGAAGTGTTTTAGCTATTGTAACGCAGTTTATCATCCCTTCTTCCGGCGCCTTGATGACTAAAGCATATGCTCTTTGTATACAAAGATAAATCTGTGAAATGTGTAAATGATCTTCAATCTCAGTGATCTGCAGAGGAAAGATTATCCAGGAGGAGAGGTTTATGTTGTTTCCTGTTTTTAGTGAAAACTGGTCAATAAATTGTGGATTTCTAAATTAAGCACTCTCTTTCATAACTCACTTTATATCTGTGTACAGTTGGAGTACCTCAAAACTCAGCTGCATCCTCTTCCAGATACCAGACATACAGTTCTTACATAAAATACTCCTGTTTTTGTTTTTTGACATGCCTATGGCACTTACAGCTTCATAGTGAAGAGATGATAGTTGCATATTGGTTTATATAGCTAATGAGCCATAGTAACATTGGCCTGAGGCAGAATAGGATCGTGCTAGTCTTTAAAGTAGATCTATTATGAAGTATTTATTTGTAATAATCGTTGTGTAATTCAGTGGCAACGAGGGTACAGGCTCAATCAGTTATATCTATTATGGAAACTGGACAGTTTGTATGTGGAGCAGATAAAACATGGAAGGTATACAAGCATTTTTTAAAAATCATTGCAGAAAAAGCCATGGTAGATGTTTCCATGCTGGATGCACTGGACTGGAGCACTAATTTTGAAGCGGAGCTTGCATTCCATTATCCTTTTCATGCATACTGACAGTTAAAGGACTAGCTTGTTCTAAAACAAAGCCAGTACTAGATTACAAACTACAGCTTTAAAAATGGATGAAAAGCAGTTCCCCCATCTTCCTGCCCTTTCAGGAACACTAAAGCGTCAACGTGTGTCTGACAGGGCATGGGCAGATGATTTCAGAATCTTAGGCATGTGCAGTATAAAGGAGCAGTGGCTCAGCGCAGCACCAGTCCTGAGTTTGAGGCAAAACGGGGACACGTTTCACCAGGCAGATGCAGAACAGTGATTCAAAGTGGGGCAGCAGCTGAAGATCGGCTTTCCCAGCTAATGAGCAGGGAAGAGGGCAAAAGGGTAACGAGGAGAGAGGCGGGGAAAGGGGCGTAGAGAGCAACTGAAAGGGAGTAACTACACTGCTGGTAGTGGCTTTGACCAGGTCTGAAGCATGGCTGCCGTGATGGAGTTCAAACAAGGCGAAGCACCTCAGAGCTGGCTCTTAAGCAGGAGCATGTAGGAAGTGAAAAGCAGCCTGTGCTGCTGTAGTCATTTCGAAGCACAAACAGCATGTTACCACTCATCCCTGGTGCAGGAACGACAGTAACCAGGACGCTTTAAAGCTCAGGATGAGGATGGATTTTTGAGGTACCATCACAACATAAACCTTCTTGTACTTAACTCACTGATGTCCGTTGGAACTGGATGCGCTTTAAGGTCCCTTCCAACACAGCACCTCCCGAGCCCGCCCTCCGTCCTTCCCTCCCTCAGGCGCCTGCAAGCGCAGCTCCACCCGCCGCCGGAGCGAGGCCCCCGCGCTTCCCGCCCGCCCCTCAGCGGGGCGCCGCCCGCGTTGCCTGTCGGGGACACGGGCCCTCGGAGGCTAAGCACCGCCGCTGCTGCGGCTACAGGCTCTCCAGCGGCCAGCCGCGGCGCCGCGAGGACCCTGCGAGGCGGAGCGGCGACGGGCAGCGCGGTGGGGCAGCGGTGGGGCGGCTGGAGGCAGGTTAGTGCCGGGGAGCGGGAGTCACCGCCACGCTGCGCTACCCCCGCCTCCCCCGAGTGGGCCCGCCCGGCTTCTTGGGGCGTGAATGGGCGGGCGTAACGATCGCGTCACGGGAAAGGGGAGCCCGGCGGGCGCGGAGACTCCCCTGGTAGAGAATGGACCAGCCCATCTGCCCGTTGGGAACTGGCGAAAGAGGCGGTACCATCTCCTTGTCTGGGGGTAGGGACGGCAGTTGTAGCCTTTGTAGCTTCATAACCTTTCCAGTATGCGAGGGGAGGGAAGGGCAACCGTGGTTGAAGACGTTGAGGGACAAGGGACCGGTCCCGAGGAGCAGGGAGGTCAACGAGGCTCTGTGGGGTGGCCCTGGAGCCCGGTGCCTCATCCCCTCAGGGCAGCCTGATCCGGACGTGCGTTATGGTTCGCCCGTGGCTTCAGGGGCTCCTGCTTCACTGCCCATTGTGCTGCTGCGTCCTGACCAGCCTGAGGTCCCGCATGGCTTCATCCTGTGTGTCAGAACCCTGAGTGGTTTGGGTTGGAAAGGACTTTAAAGTTCATCCATCTCCAACCCCATGCCACGGGCAGGGACCCCTTCCACTAGAGCAGCTTGCTCCAAGCCCCTGTGTCCAACCTGGCCTTGAACACTGCCAGGGATGGGGCAGCCACAGCTTCTCTGGGCACCCTGTGCCAGCGCCTCAGCACCCTCCCAGGGAAGAGCTTCTGCCTAAGAGCTCATCTCAGTCTCCCCTCTGGCAGGTTAAAGCCATTCCCCTTGGCCTGTCCCTGCAGGCCCTTGTCCAAAACCCCTCTCCAGCTTTCCTGCAGCCCCTTTAGGCACTGGGAGCTATTGCCAATGTGAAGATCCACTTGTGTTAGGCTGCCATTGTGAAAACTGAGGTATTGAAGGGTTTTTAATAAAAACCGCTATGCTGTGAGCTCTGTACTTAAAATTAGCCCATTCTGAAAACTGGCTCTGCAAATAACTTTCATACTGCCCAAATAAATATACTGTGGAGACCCAGTGGAGATGGATGGTAAAAGCGGTGTAAACCCCCACCCCCAGATTTCTGCTAAAATGGGATATTCTGTCCCCATCTGTAGCTGTGCAGGCCATGTGGGCATGGAGCATTTGCTCTGCAGTCGTTGTCTTTAGCTAGAGAATTTATGTAATAACACCTTCTTCAGTTCTTTCTTCGTCCTCTTTTCATCTTTCTCAGCATCAAAATTCCCTGTGCCATGGTATAAGCATCTGAGGGAAGAAAGGTTTTTTGTCAAGGAGATAATGTGGAGTCATGCAAATTCCATTCTGTCCAGGCGTTAAGTATTTTATCAGAGAAGATGTCTGAGAAACCTGGTGCCCTCTTTTCCCGTGCAATTGATGAAGCTCCCTTAGAAGTTCTGTTACCAGCTTTGTATCATAGATGTTTAACCTTGGACTATGTAGCAACAGACATACTATAAAATAAGCATGTTTATTCTTCTTATTGCAGGGAACCAGCAGGAATAATGAAAGCAGAATCCCACAAGTTTTCCGTGCATGTGTCTTGTACCTGAGACATCAAGTTCACATCATCTTATCACTGATAAAAGTGTACAGATAAAAAATGAGACTTATTAAGGCAGGTTCTAATCACAGTGTGTTTTTTAAAAGCACATATATGTTACATGTTCTGTAACCAGAAAAGCTCAATGTAAAGTTGTAATCGCTTGCTAGTGATGACAGATCACATTGTTACTGTCTCACAGACAGGAGAAAAGCTTCCACAGTGGGCTTTGGCTAAGAAATAGCCCAGCAGACTTGCTTGTGAAGTAAAATACAGCCCTTGCAGCACACATAAGGAGAAGTACTAGTTCTGAAGACAGCTTTTTAGCCAGGTGACTTGCGCATGACCTTGCTCTTTTCTTCCCCAGTGCCTTTACACTCCGAATGCTGGGTTCACCTTGGGGCTGAGTCTCATGGACCTGTTTGTGTGACATAGAAGCCTGCTGTAGAAAAACTGCTTGACTGTCCCCTTTACAAGAGGAGAGGGTAACCGTTTGGGATGCTGAATATCCCTGAACGCTTCCAGTCTGACAGTCTGCAAAATCCATGCTGCCACACACATAGTCAACCATCAGATAGCCTGAGTTAGCTCACCTGAACTGTGTGGTGGGCTGCATCACCCTAGGTCTTGCTTTCAAAATTACAATTAACAATATCCACTTTTGCAGAGCATTTTGAGCTTTACAGTTGGAGCACTGTATCATCATTTAGTAGTGTTGCATTAATTTTCACTTGAACAGCACCGTTGGTGTCAATGGGACTTGCTGGAATGTGCTTGCTGAGGCCTTGAACCAGCAATACCAGACCTAATGATCCTCTTCCCAACAGTCTCAGTTGTTTAGAGAATTTTTTGACATGCACAAATAAAGGCACTTTAAAAACAAATAGCACCTGATTTCCATATATAGAGTCTTTGGGAAAATACCACCCCATCAATTACGGTTTTTTTTTAAACACTGCCTTTTATTTCTCTGTCTAAAGGGGCCCATTTAATACTGCGAGTAATGTTCTGAGTAGTGCCGGGCTTGGCACAAATGAGGCGCTTAACTGAGTTCCTTATTTTTATTATCCATTGTCTGCTAACCAGTTTTCTGTTGTTTCATTTATTTGCCCTCTCCCTGGGGAAGGAGGATGGCAGCTCGGCGTGCGCTGAAAGCTGTCTTGGTGGATCTCAACGGCACACTTCACATTGAAGACTCAGCTGTGCCAGGCGCTCAGGAAGCTCTTAAAAGGCAAGTGACCTTTTTAGATTCCCTCTGATAGGCTATGGCAGTACTGTTTGCACAAAGATGCTTCTTCAAGTAGACAGGCCTGAAGCTTCTGTGCTTTTTGTGCTTTCGTGGATAAGCAAACATGGCCCAATTCTGCTTCTATTTACACCTGTATCAGTACCAAGAGAAGTCACTGAAGGGCACTGAAAAGTTGCCTGAGCCCCTGCAGCTTTCCCGAGTTGTTCCACAGGTCTTGTAGTTCTAAGTTTTTTGACGCTGTCAGGTTAAATATTGTCCCTTCCAACCCAAATGATTCTATGATTCTATAGTATTCAGAGTGTTTCTGCTGATGGCAGTACAGCCTCAGCCAAAGTGGAATGTCGTTCAATTAACCCAAATTATCCCATGTACACCAGTCACTTCAGCTGACCTGTTCCTTGCTGCTTTGTTTAATCACAGGAGTCTGTGTCCGTAGGTCTGTGGTAAGCTAAAGTGGAATAATAGAATAACTTGGCCTAATGAACAGAGCATCCTTTGCAGAGTTTTCATTTTGCTTGGTCTTCCAGCCAAAGCTTTGCTTTATTATTTGTTAAGTTTCTGCTAGGTAAAGAGCCTCAGTCTGGGAAACATCTGATAATACAGCCCACCTTTTGTAGGTATTCCAATGTGTTAATGAACGGGACAGTTTAGTACCTCTCTTTCTTGTGATGAAAGGGTGTTTAAAGAAACTGAGACATAGTAAAATGACTTCATCTGGCCAAGTCTGTGGCACAATACGATATCCAGCCCCAGGGATCCTTGTAGTGTATTATGAGATTGTTGGCCTGGAGAAGACATCTTGCAATAGATGAAGTAAAACACAAAGTGATGTATACTGTTGTGGTGAGTGAGGGTGGATGTCTTAAGGTGCTGGGATCAGGAGAGAGGAATAGGGTTCACTTGAGGATGAGAAAGCTTTTACTGGAATTGTATTTACTGCTTAGAGTTTTTATAAAGGTATTGCTCGGAGGAATAGTTCACAGAGGGGTTAGGAAACTGTGTTTCTATTCACAAGTAGCTCTGTGGAAGTAGTTGTCTCCTGAAGGTGTCCAATTGCAAGGAAGTAAAAACTGCTGAAGTCCTGGGTACTTATTCATCACTCATTCACTGAACCTTGTCTGCTTGGTGTTTAGTGCAAAGGGATAACTTGTGCCAGGTGAGAGTCAACATTTTCAGAAATCCATATATATATATATATACATATATATATGTATGTAAGGTGTCATATATCAAGAAGAGCTTGGTATCTGTTCTGTCTGCTGCTACTCCAACCCCTTAGGCAGTAGATTGGACATAAAAAATGGCTTCTGTAGAATCAGAAGACACACTGTTCTCTAAAGTCCCTAGTTCTCCTTTGTCTTTTGCTTGATTCCTGCTGAGACATGCTCGTGTGGGCCCTGTAATGGATTTGGCATGTGAGGGGGTCAGAGAAGATACAAGGTGCAGTCTGGTGCTGTTTCTCAGCTTCAACCTGCTGGCACAAGTGTGGAGAGGGGGTGCCATTGCACTGCAAGGAACGGGCAGATCTTTTTGCATAGAGGTTTGAATAAAATTTCTCATATTCTTTTCTGCTAATTCATGTCACTGTCCTTCCTAGAGAGAAGCCGGAATGTTTGGCAGGCAGGGAAAAAATAGGTACATCCCATTTTTAGAGCTACTTCTTAGTACTGAGGTCCAAAGGAAAAAGAAAATTATGAATTTATATTTTATTAGCAACAAGGAGACTTTTTTTACTAGTTCATTTGTCTGAAGGGTCAGTGTACCTGAGAAACAAGAAGTGGCAGGTGCAAGCAAGTCTGCAGTATTGACCAACTTTATCCTGATGTTCTCCATGCAGCCTTGACGCTGGGATTTGTTTCTATAGCAACAAACAGAAAAGTGATGGTGGGGGAATAATTAAAGGGAACGCTGTTGAAACTGTCACTTAAAATTATTTGATTGTTTGGTAGCACGTACTGTCAGTGTAGGGCAATAATGTGGGTTTATGTGATAGCGGTGTTCCTCATTAAAGGGAGAAAAGGCTTCAGAAGATGACACAAAACCACCACAAGGGTAAGGCAGGCTCCTAGAGCATCCTGCATCTCTGAATGAGACATAGTGCTGTGAAATTCACCCAGCACGTGGAGTTCAATACATTATTTTTGCAACAAGGTTCTTCTGTGTATTTACTTTGGTTCAGGATGCTGCAGATCCAGAATACAGGACTGGTTTTTCATAGTGGCTTTCCAGTATTAAAGGGCCTACAAGAGAGCTGCAGAAGGACTTTTTACAAGAGGAAGTAGTGGTAAGACAAGGGAGAATGGCTTTAACCTGCCAGAGGGGAGACTGAGGTGAGCTCTTAGGCAGAAGCTCTTCCCTGTGAGGGTGCTGAGGCGCTGGCACAGGGTGCCCAGAGAAGCTGTGGCTGCCCCATCCCTGGCAGTGTTCAAGGCCAGGTTGGACACAGGGGCTTGGAGCAAGCTGCTCTAGTGGGAGGTGTCCTTGCCTGTGGCAGGGGTTGGGACTGGATGAACTTTAAGGTCCTTTCCAACTCAAACCATTCCTTGATTTTATTACGATTATCTAGCTTGAATTAAAAGGCTTTTCATGCTAGTTGTTGTTGATCATAGATGTGTTTGCTACTGCTATGAAAATGGAGTTTAGAATCACCATTTTTTTCCAGACTTCTCCTGATAGAAGCAATGCAGAGGGGCCTTGGTCTTGTTCTGTTAGCTATAATTCTTGCCATCTGTTTCACATTACCCTCCAGTCCACAGAACTTAACAACCTCATGGTTCTGGTGTGGCACCGTTAGTCTGGGATGTGTAGTCTTTTCACCTGCATCCTTTAGATAAACAGTCCCTTTTCTGTCCCAGATTGACCTATGAGTGTGTAAATAGAAAGATACTGTGGCCAATATGCCTTTGCTCCTCAACTATCAGGCTGCGTAGTGCTCCGGTTACCATTCGATTTGTGACGAACACAACGAAGGAGTGCAAGAGAGAGCTGCTGGAGAGGCTGGTGAAACTGGGCTTTGACATTGCAGAAAATGAGATCTTCACATCTCTGACTGCAGCCAGGAACCTTCTGGAACAAAAGCAAGTGCGGCCACTCCTCCTGGTGGATGATAAGGCCCTGCCTGATTTCACAGGTAAGGTGATCAGAAAACAGTATGGAAGAAGTCACTGGCCAGCTGAGGAAACATAGTGCCCTCTGTTTTGTAGAGTGACAATCATGTATATACTACTGGCCATGATGAAGCCTGAAATAAGGAACTCTCCAGAGTCATAAGGGTTCTTTCTTCTTTTTAAGTTACCATTAAACATTCTGAAGTCATAGCTTCTTGAGGAGTTGTGGAAATAGTAGCCAGAGCCTTCAAAAAGTTAGAATTTGTGTAAAACTTGATGGTTTTTATTACTTTGCAGTGTAAAAAACCCCAAACTTATCATTAGATCATTGGAGATATATTGCTAATTTGTTTTATAGCAAGGATGTGTCAATTTGTTGGAAATAAACTTTCCCTCAGCTATTGTACAGAGGTTTTGCTCACAAAGAGCTGAAAAAGCCAGTGTGTAGGCACACAGAGGAGGCTATTTCTCTCTTAATAGGTTATTATTAAGCGTGAAATCTCAAAGTAATTATTGTTACTTACATTGTATTGAACATCTATCTCACTCCATGTACTTTGATACCTTAACTGGTGACAGAACCTTCACCATGCTGACTTCTTTAGAGTCTCCTCCCTAAAGACCTGGTTAAAATTTGGTTTACTTGCAGATATTCCCGTTCCCATTTTCCTCCCTCAACAATAAGGGCAGTAGAAGACGATATATTCTAACTTGGACAAATCTGGCAGATGCCTGAAGCAATGGCAATTAGTCATTGCCTTAACTACATTGTTGTTTCAAGAGCAGTGAAGATACCCACATTTTTAACATACTCAAAGTTGAAAACTCTGCTAGTCTTTCATTTAGCTTCAAAAATGTGAATGGTTTACCACTGCTCCCTGCCTCTTGCCTCATGAACTGAAATCCTTGTGGCAATTTAACTTACATACAATCTAATCGTGCTAGGAGCCGGACATTCCCTATGAAATTTTAGTGCCATAGGCTAATTGTTAATCTTCAGAAGGGTAAATGTTGAGGAGAAAAGCCTCTGTGGGCTCTGTGAGCAGTGAAACCTTGATAATCTGTTCTATCTAACATGGCATCCAGAGAAATATGCCCCCAGCAATATTCTGTGTTTGTGTTCTTGGGAAGGCTTTCCTGGGTCAGAAACAGCAGAGACAGCAGCTATTTCACTGGAGGTAAATCAGTTTAATCTCCATGTATTTGGGATCTTTCCATCAGTTTCAGAGTAGCTGGTGCTAATTTTGTAAAAGATGGCAAAGTACACTGGAGGCATTATCTGTATTGCCTGGGTCTGGAATGGATTGTTTTGTCTCTTTTTGCTCTAAGCAGTTTGGCTCATATTTTCTCAGTGCTGCTCTTGAAACATTTAAATACAATGGAGAATGCTTTAAATTCCTGTTAATGGCTGCTATTGAAGTATTCTTGGCTAATCTCTCCATAAAGTTGGTCACAGATGGATGAATGTAATCCGTCCTTGGTTAAGGAACCCAGATGCTCTTGAGTGGTGTCACAAATCCACACAGCATTTCTGCATGTACGTTTTGCTGCCTGAGTTAACTGAAGGACAGGCAGCAGGACACATCAGCTGCAGCAACGCTCCCTAGAGACCCAGGAGCTCTAGGTGTCTCAGTAAAGGTGTAGAGGATGTGCTGTGTGAAGGCAGAACAGAAACCCCATGAAGTGCAGGATGCAGCTGATAACCTAAGAAAAACTCCGGTACTCCTGTGTTCCTTGTGAAGGATGGCAGAGTTAGTTCCACAGATGCTTTCCTCATTTAGAAAAACTTAAAACTAGTCAGTATGATGTGTCTGTGTCAGAAAATGGTCATGTTTCCTGTAAAGTGATTAATTGCTCTTTTTGACTCTACTGCTAGGTATGAATAAAATTCAGTTCACTTGGAGTCATGTTTTGATTTTCCAGGGATAGCCACTAATGACCCCAACGCGGTGGTGATAGGACTGGCTCCAGAGCACTTTCATTATGAGATGATGAACAAAGCATTTCGGTAAGTTGTAGAATGCCAGCCTGACCTGTGTTGGAAGGGACCTTAAAGCTCATCCAGTTACAACCCCTGCCATGAGCAGGGACACCCTCCACTGGAGCAGCTTGCTCCAAGCCCCTGTGTCCAACCTGGCCTTGAACACTGCCAGGGATGAGGCAGCCACAGCTTCTCTGGGCACCCTGTGCCAGCGCCTCAGCACCCTCCCAGGGAAGAGCTTCTGCCTAAGAGCTCATCTCAGTCTCCCCTCTGGCATGTTAAAGCCATTCCCCTTGGCCTGTCCCTACATCCCTTGTCCCAAGCCCCTCTCCAGCTTTCCTGTAGCCCCTTCAGGCACTGGAGCTGCTCTAAGGTCGCCCCTTCAAGGAGCCTTCTCTTCTCCAGGCTGAACCAGCCCAGCTCTCTCAGCCTTTCCTCATATGCTGCTCAGTCCTTGGATCATCTTTGTGACCCTCCTCTGGACCCTCTCCAGCCCATCCACATCTGTTTTGCATAGCAGGGACCAAAACTGAGCACGGTGTTCCAGGGGTGGTCTGACCAGCACTGCGTTATGTTTTGGTTAATGTAATTTAAAATTTTTGCATGGGGAAATCAGATGGGTTCTAATGCTACAATGTTCACCTTAGTGAGAAGTGAGGCTGCTTAGAGCAATGGATCTAATTGCAGGAGGGGTAGACAGGATTTAAATATTCTTACTTGTTAAAATCCTAGAGATAATAAACTCTTTATTTGGGGCATTTGTTCTATAATTGTTTCTGTGGAAAGGAAAGGAAGGAACTGTATTTAACACCCGACATGAATCATAGAATCATAGAGTATTTAGGGTTGGAAAGGACCTTAAGATCATCCAGTTCCAACTCCTCTGCCATGGGCAGGGACACCTCACACTAAACCATGTCACCCAAGGCTCTGTCCAACCTGGCCTTGAACTCCGCCATAGATGGAACATTCACAACCTCCCTGGGCAACCCATTCCAGTGCCTCACCACCTTTACAGTAAAGAATTTCCTCCTTATATCCAATCTAAACTTCCCCTGTTTCAGTTTTAACCCGTTACCCCTTGTCCTGTCACTACAGTCCCTAATGAAGAGTCCCTCCCCAGCACCCTTGTAGCCCCCTTCCAGATACTGGAAGGCTGCTATGAGGTCTCCACGCAGCCTTCTCTTCTCCAGGCTGAACAGCCCCAACTTTCTCAGCCTGTCTCTATACAGGAGGTGCTCCAGTCCCCTGATCATCCTCATGGCCTCCTCTGGACTTGTTCCAACAGTTCCATGTCCTTTATATGTTGAGAATGAATGCTAGGTTTTGTTACCATTTGGGCCTTCATGAAAGTCAGTGGGAGTTTTGTATTCAACAAAAGCCTTCAGTTGTAAATTTAACATAGCCTTTGTACATTGTTCTTCGTTCATTCTGTAGACTGATTTTGGATGGGGCTCCTCTTATAGCTATACATAAAGCCAGGTATTTCAAGAAAAAAGATGGCTTGGCTCTGGGACCTGGACCTTTTGTAACTGGGCTGGAATACGCGACAGACACCAAAGCAACTGTGGTGGGGAAGCCAGAGAAAACCTTCTTCCTGGAAGCTCTGCGGGGAACTGACTGCATGCCAGAGGATGCTGTCATGATCGGTGATGTACGTATGGGGGGTATGAGTGCCATTATCACCTGCACTTGTCTGCATTGTGTGTGGAGCCTTCCAAATGTTGCAGAGAGATCTTTCTAAAAGTGCTGGGATTAAACAAGGGGTGAAAATGGAACCATCCAACCTCACAGGATTTCATATGTAGTCCATGGGGGTCACTGTCTGAGCAGGAAAAAGGCACACAGTAATTCATTCCTGTGACGCTTTGTCTAGTAGGTAGCCAAAAGATTTGCCTCAGTGTAGCTGCTGGAGAATGTTACGAAAAACTTAAGTGACCACTAACCAGCTGATCTCCTGTTTGCCCCAGGACTGCAGGGATGATGTTGGAGGTGCTCAGAAGGCGGGTATGCGTGGGATTTTGGTACGGACTGGTAAGTCCTCCACAGATCAGTTGTTTCAGGAGGCAGTGGTGCATTTCATGGTCTCACCCTGGGTGCTGGCAACCACCGCGCCCAAAGATCTGGTGCTTGTGCTTTGCAGACTCCTGTCATTGCTCTGGGTGAGTCAGGATCAGTGGGGGTGGCTGATCTTGCAGATGTGAATTTTGTGCTCTAATGACTATAAATCCCGAGCACTAATCAAAGAACAGAGAGAACTGCTACTGCGACATCTTAGATTGCCAAAATCAGTCATAGCAAAGTAACCTCTGATCATTCAGGAGCTCTGGTAACATTCCCTAGTAATTACACTAGTAATTATAGAAGTAATTTTGCTTCAGAAAAAAAGTGGAACATTAAGGGACTGACAGGTATTACCAGTGTTATTGACGTACTGTGGACAGGGAAGGGGCCTTTCTGAGGTGGCAGCTGCTCATGCCACAGAGTCCATTACATTAATAATGGAAGCAAGTGATCCTACTCTTCCTCATAAAAAGCCAGAAGCAAAGATGGTAACATTATTATTTCAAGAACCTGCAAAATGAGTATCTGAATACTCAGTGAAAGAATAGTGCCAGTACAGCAGAGTGAAACCGGTGCATAAGTAACTTTGAGCCAGAGTCACCACTGGAGAACTCCTCAGGAAGACTCAGTCTGGAACTAGATGATCTTAAGGTCCTTTCCAACCCTAACTATTCTACGATTCTATGATTCATTTAGGGAATACTTTTGTGGGGTATTTGTTGCAGAACCTCAGATCACAGAATCATGGTTTGGGTTGGAAGGAACTTAAGATGAGCTTTAAGAGCTCATCCAGTTCCAACCCCTGCTACGGGCAGAACCACCTTCCACTACAGCAGCTTGCTCCAAGCCCCGTCCAACGCTGCCAGGAATGGGGCAGCCACAGCTGCTGTGGGCACCCTGTTCAAGAGATGGACACTCCTCCTGCTGTGTCTGGCTGTTACTGATCTGAGAAGGCTGTAGTGTTCAGGGGAAGAGAAGGATACTCAAGGTACCTCGGTAAATGCATTATTTTGTTAATCTGTTACAGGTAAATATCGACCAGCAGATGAAGACAAAATCAATCCAGCTCCTTACTTAACCTGTGAGAATTTCCCAGAGGCAGTGGAACATATCCTGGAGCGCCTGCTATGAGAATTGGGGGGGTGTGCTATGAGGAAGGGAATAGTTAGTTTGAAGAAACATCTGTTTCACATAATTTCCTTTACTCTTGCTTCATAAAATTGTCACAGGATCAATGCATGCCTTTCATCAGAAAACTAGCTGTGAGCTCCTTCCACTCTCATTGTGAAAGGGCAGATGATCCACAAAGCCCTTTTCCTGTAGTAGTTTCAGGAGGATGTGATAAGGGACTGTGGACGCTCGCAGGTGAGACAGGCTGCAGCCTCCTGAATGACATGGGGAGCACTACAGAGAGGTCTGTTTATTTTCAGTTTTCAAGAAATAACTGATGAAAAGCCCTGTCTGGAAAGTGTCATGGTTCTGCTGCTGAATGAGCTAAACTGAACTCCCCCCTCACTGGAAGTACTCATGTAAATAAACCTCAGAGACTAACAGAGCCTCAGTCAGCCTGTAGTGATTTCACTGAGGATGTCCCTGCTCTGCTCTAATTTAAAGGTGGAGATTATGCATGTTTAGAAGTGACTTGAAAATGTCACCATTGTTTAATAATAATTACTGTTGGTATCTTTCTTCTCATTAAGAACAGATCCTGGGTTTTTTGTTTTGGAAATTTGACATAAAAACTGTCAGCATTTTACAGATGTTTTAATTAGGTGCTGTTATTAAAAAGAATGATACTGAAACAAAGCCCTGGTATTAAATGCCTTTGAGACTGTGTCTTTTAAAATTAGACTTCAGCAGGGTCCTATCGATCCTACAGTTGCAAAATGTCACTGTTATTGGAGGGTTTTGTTTCTTTTTAACATTATGGTAAAAATCCCTCACAAGCCATGGGGACAGATTCCAGTTTTTACACAGTTGGTTAGCAGTAAAATGAAATTTAATTCTGCAGTATGCAGTGCTTCTCCTGTGCACCAAATCCCCCAGTACGAACCAAGTTTGTAATGATGGTAAATAGCTTTTCTGGTCCATTTGAAAACCACAATAATCCAAGTCCTTTACAGTTGTTTTACAGTGCTCCCGAGTGTTAAATTATCAGATTAGTAATTATACATTACTGGATTATTAACCTTACTGAAAAATACAGTTTTGTGTTAATGAGCCATGCTTGTTCTTGTTAAGAAAAATCATCGTGATGGATGAATTTCCTTACGTGACAGAGTGTGTGGCTGCAGTTGCACGTGGTGGATGGTTGCCTATGCTCACATTTAATCTCCCTCAGAGACAGGACACATGAATGGAGTACACTTTGCAGTGGAAACACAAGAACTGATAAACCTTCCCACCTAAAAACATAAGACATCTTTAGATACCATTTGTGTGCCCTCATAAATTGTTAACCTACAGTTTTGAGTAAATCCACACATCTTGTGTTCATGCCAACAGTTCTGAACCTGGGTTGGTTTCTGCTTGGAGTACAGAAGGGAGGTCTGTGGCTTGCAGAAAGAGATGCGTAAGCAAAGTCCTGTGAACACATTTCTCATAAAGACTTCTGACAAGCCAACTGGAAGGTAACACATTTGGCACATGAAGGCTTTGATCTTGGCTGAAAACAATGTCGAACTAATCAAATTTACAAGGCACTGCTAAGGTGCTGAACTTCACTGAAAGCAGTTAACATTTCATTGCAAAGATGCTCTAGTGAGTCTCAGAAGTTGAGAATTCCACTAATACCACAGAATCCCAGACTAGTTTGGGTTGGAAGGGATGATAAAGCTCATCCAGTTTCAACCCCTGCCATGGGCAGGGACACCTTCCACTAGAGCAGCTTGCTCCAAGCCCCTGTGTCCAACCTGGCCTTGAACACTGCCAGGGATGGGGCAGCCACAGCTTCTCTGGGCACCCTGTGCCAGCGCCTCAGCACCCTCACAGCGAAGAGCTTCTGCCTAAGAGCTCATCTCAGTCTCCCCTCTGGCAGGTTAAAGCCATTCCCCTTGGCCTGTCCCTACAGGCCCTTGTCCCAAGCCCCTCTCCAGCTTTCCTCCAGCCCCTTTAGGCACTGGAGCTGCTCTGTCTCACTGGAGCCTTCTCCATGTCTTACTGTTTATATAGTATCTAATTATTTTTAAGTGTTCTGTTCCTTTTTTTCTACCTCAAACCTGTCAACAACTGTTGTGAATAAAGACTGATAATCGATCTTTTAAGTTTTTATACATAAAATTAAGGCTGGAGTCTTCATTACATAGCAACTGCCATTACATTAAGTCCATGAAGAATGTTTCTGGAATGGTAATTAAGAAGAGCTAATAAAAACCAACACCAGACCTCCCACCATTAAAAGGTTTCAAAAAGGTTCACCGTTTTTGAAAGCAAAGATTCCCCTTGACTTTTGTGTCCGCACTCTCTTTCCTGGAAACAACAGCACTTGGATAGCAGAAGTCTTGGAAGTTTTCAATCTTTGGGTTGTTTTATTTTTTCCTTTTTAAACTGACTCAAATTCTCTCTGCCAAGCAGCGTACTTCTGGCTTAGATTCTTTGCTGATGGCTTGGTGTGGGTGATCACATCCAGGAAATCTGCTGTGGTAATCGTGTCTAATTGGATCACAGGTAAGTTACGGTTACCTAAAAAGAAGAGAATTGATCAAATACTGCTGTTATTGCCAGAAGACATTCTTTTATGTCCCTGCATGTGTTGGGTTTGCCTGACTAGGTTTTGGTAGTGGCTGGACTACAGCAGTAGTACCTCTGGGATAATGTGTTTAAAGAGGGGAAAAACCCCTGTGTAACTGCAGCTCAAGAGGGGAGTGAGAACATGTGAGAGTAACAGCCCTGCAGACAGCATGGTCAGTGAAGGAGGAGGTGGGAGCTGCTTTAGGCTCTGAGGCAGAGGCTCTCCTGCAGCCTGTGGTGCAGACCGTGGTGAGGCAGGCTGTGCCCCTGCAGCCCATGGAGGTCCCCACAGTGGAGCAGGGGAATGCCAAAAGAGGCTGTGACCTCATGGAGGCCTGCACTGGAGCAGGCTCCTGGCAGGACCTGTGGCCCATGGATAGAGGAGCCCACACTGGAGTGGGTTTGTTGTCAGGAGCTGTGATCCTGCGGGGGATCCACATTGGAGCCATCCGCTCCTGAAGGATGCACCCATGGAAGGGACCCACGCTGGAGCAGTTCATGAAGAACTGCATCCTGCAGCAAGGACTCCTGTTGGAGAAGTTCACCTGTGCTGGAGCAGGTGAAGAGTGTGAGGGGTTCTCCTGAGGAGGAAGGAGCAGCAGAGACAACGTGTGATGAACTGACCACAACCCTCATTCCCTATCTCCTTGTGCTGCTGAGGGGGAGGACGCAGAGAAACAGGGAGTAAAGGTAAGCTCAGGATGAAGGGAAGGGTGGGGGAAAGATGTTTTTTAAGATTTGGGTTTATCTCTCATTACCCTGTTCTGAATGTTAATAACTCAAGCTCATGTCCCCATGTCAACTCTGTTTTGCCTGTGACAGTAAATGGTGAGTGATCTCTCCCTGTCCTTAACCCAACGAGCCTTTTGTGATGCTTTGTCTACTCTGTCCAGAGGAGGAGGGCAGTGATGGAACAGCTTTGGTGGCCACAAGGCCTCCAGCCAGACTCAACCCACCCCACTGCCTAATGCAGCACTTCCTATATGAAAACAACAGAATAAACCTAGTGATATGAACTAAAAACTGTATCTGTGCACAGAGCACAGACACTGACAGCTTTAAATAGAGCCCTGGTTTTCAGCAAGGTCATCTTAGGTAGATGTTTAGAAATCCAGGGTTTAAAACGTCTCCACGCAGATGACAGAGCTCCACCTGCTGGGGTTAACGGTGATTTCTAGAGTTACAGAGCTACGGCAGCAACTCCCGGAGTGGATTCTCTTCTCAGAGCTGTGGTACCTGGCTTATGATTTTCTAGAGCATCGAAGATTTTCCTCACAGGTCTCATGGCTGCTTCCTTGCACACGAGTTTTATGTCAGAGCCGGAGTACCCATCCGTTTCCTAGGATGGGATCAGAAGGATACGTTACAGCTTACAGATGTATAAATTGCACAGGAATGGGGATTATGGTTTATATAAATATACATAAAATATCTGTAAATTATAGTGTCTGTAATATATATGTATCTCTCTCTCTATATATATATATACACACATCTATAATTTTACGTGTACCCTCCCTTCAACATCACGTTGCTTGTTCTTGTTTTGAATCCTCACAGTACCTTCTAAGAGCAAGGAAAATACTGGAACAGGATTCACTGGAACAGGCTGCCCAAAGAAGTGATAAATGCTCCATTCCTGGCAGTGTCCAAGGCCAGGTTAGACAGAGCCTTGGGCGACATGGTCTAGGGTGAGGTGTCCCTGCCCATGGCAGGGATTTGGAATTGGATGTTCTTAAGGTCCTTTCCAACCCAAACCATTCTGTGATTTTAATAGTATTTTCTTTCTAAAGGGAAATCTGCTGTAGGTTAAATAAAACCCACCTTTCTGTGTCCATTCCTGGCTTTCCTATTAATGTAATACCTGTGTTTCCTTATTAACATCTGTGAAACAAAAACTGAGCAGTGTTGTGTCTGTGAACAGGCATGAAGAGGGCCAACTGAGTAAGCTGCAAGGTATTTTCGAAGAACCTAGGATGTGACAAAGGGCTAAATGAAGAAAGCCTGGGTATCAAGTGGATCTCTTCACTGTCTAAATGCTTTTTTTTCCTGCAGCAGTGGAGCTGTGGCAAACCTTCCCTACACAATTAACTGTTCATTACCCTGATGAATTGGAAGTGCTCCCAGCCTGGTGAGAAGAGTGATAAAATATACTGCTACTGGAAGTCTCCCTGTATTGAAGGCTGAAAAGCTGGCCCAACTGAGGGGTTCAGAATACACCACTTTGCAAGCAGGGCTGTGGGAAACCAATGATTTCCATGGGCAGGAACATGCCTGTGAAACACTAAGTGGTGTGCTTCACCCTTTGGCTGGAGCCTCAAACTGAGCTGAGGTCCTTCCCCCATCTCCCTGTGTCACAGATGTGTAATTCCATCAGTGTGGATGACGAGTGTCACTCTTCCATATGGCTCCCACCCAGGAAGACCTGAAGCATCATCCCAGCTGCAGCGCTGTCTCACCTGGCCCAGCAAGCTGTAGTCCAGGTCTGTTCTCAGCTCCACTCCTCCGCTGTTGCTCACAGCGGGCAGCCAGTGCTGGATCATCACTTGCCGTGCCTCTTTGCTTGGGAGGTCAACCAATATCCTCTTCTCCAGCCGCCGCAGCATGGCAGAATCCAGCTCCCTGCAAAAAAGAGGAGGAGAATTGTCTCAGTGCGTCTCATTGTGGAGACATGGCTTTGGCAGCAAGCTCCTCGCTGCAGGGACTGACATTTTTCATTTTTCAACCCCACCTGCAACTGTGTCAACCTAATTTGGGGAAATAAAAAGAAGAAAAGGGTTAATTATTCAGTGTATTCCTCTTCAGTCTGTTAGTGAAGAGATGCTGGCTTGCAACAAGCTGAACAATAAGAAAGAGAAGTTTTAGTTACCTTCCCTGGCTCTGATACCCCTATGCAAGAAGTCTAGTCAGTAACAACCTCTCCCTTTCTCCCTCTGCTATTAATTGTCTGTCTGGGGCACTGTCAGGACTAATTAATTGCTTAGTAGGTACAAAATACAGACTGGAGGTGTTGGATATGAGGGCATTCAGTTTATGACTGAATGAGACATCGATCTGAGACTGCTCCTGCAATATAGATTATAACTAATAAGCCAAAAGGAAAATATCCTTATAAAAAGGGTGGACAGGCTGCATAAATGTGTCAGTGAGCCAAACCCCATGATGCCGTTAGCATCAACACTGATAAAGGTATTTTACAAAAAAAAAAAAAAAAAAGGTAAAATACAAAAGATTGGGACTACTCTTCATTTTTGCTTGCTTGTGATGCCAAAAGGAAGCTTGAAAGAAAAATGACTGGTTTTCTGTTCTTTTCTCAGTGTGCTTCATCACCACCCAGGAACAGTCTTTCAGGCCAGTGTCCACAGATTCCACCAAGTGTCAGGAGTCCTGGTATGCCTGGCATGCCAACTTCTCTCAGACACACATCCAAACAGTTCATTCTAATCTATTTTTTCCCCCACAATTATTTTCAGTTGTTTGCATCTAACAGTAACACAACCAAACAACTGAATACAAATTCCTACTCCGGTTCATCCCTTGCCACTTGTGTCATGGGAATGGTCTATGAGTACTCCAGTCATCCATACAATTTTCAGCAAGAAATAGTTGTTAGTAAATATTTACTCAGTTATAAGTCTCCAGTGCCTTCCAGGAGCTGCTCCAAGCTATTACCCTTCCAAGTGCTGTACCCATCTTTCTCTATTGGCCCCATTCAGTCACAGACTTGTTATTTCTGTTTAAAATACAATTCAGTCCTCGCACCTGCTGAGAAACTCATCAAGGGGAAACTCACTCCAATGTGTCTTGTGCAGACAGAAAACCAGGAGCCCCAAGCACCATTTCCACCCTTGTTGGCTGAGCAGGAGCAACCAGGGAGGTTTGTGTCTGTAATCTGTGACTGCAGATACACATAAATAAACCTGCCTCCATATCCCAATTCCCTGGGTGAAATCTTTTTGCCAGCAAGGGCAATATTTAAGCAACGCTTCTTGTATGGAACTCCTCTTTAATTTACAGGGGGCTCGAAGCCAGGTCAAGATGGATCTGTAGCACACCAACAACTATATTTCTGTCACCTTTGGTGACTTGTCCTTATTTTTTAATAGCAAATATTTTCTACTGGCATAGCACATGACAAAGAAAACCAAAATGGGCTCCCAAATCTGCACATGGGTGCCTGCATTCCACAGACCTCAGCATGCCCAGCTCTCAGATCAGTGGGAGCAGAAACATTTTCTCCTGTGAGGGTGGTGAGGCACAGGAATGGGTTGCCCAAGGAAGCTGTGAATGCTCCATGCCTGGTGGTGTTCAAGGCCAGGTTGGACAGAGTCGTGGGTGACACTGTTTAGTGTGAGGTGTCCCTGCCCATGGCAGGGGGGATGGAACTGGATGATCTTAAGCTCCTTTCCAACCCTAAATATTCTATGGTTCTATGATTCTATCCCTCCCCACAGAAAGGACCTCTTGGTTTGGGAAAGCTTGTTCCATGTGTGCTGAGCCAAAAGCAATGAAAGCAACAATCAGAAAACCAGATCAATAGGAAGTCAGAGGACAACAGGAATTTGCTCAAAACCCCAGAAGTAAGTATCATAGTTTGTTAATCAGTGGCTGTTCGTATACTGATATTATTATTGATTTTTTTAAAGATGTTTAAGATGCTGTCCAGCATTCAGTGCAACATGTCTTACACAGGGTCCCACCCAGAACAAAGAACCAGGTTAGTCCCCACTCTCCTTAAAAATGTATTTTTCAGCTCAACTTCTCAAAATTGCTTTACTTGTCTGGAAATAATTACTCTCTGGCTGACCAACCCCTTGGCTTATTTATCCATATTATCATCCTTTGCATAAACAGGGTAAAATTGCAACCTTTCTAGGTAACAGAGCAACTTCTGTGTATCAGTGGGCTTGGTGAGGATGTTCATGAAACTGTGATCTTGGGGGACACCCCAGGAGTGCTCTGAAGCTGCTTGTTGGCTAAAGAGGAAAATAAAGACAGAATATTTTTATTTTAAGTGTTTAGGCTGTTGCTAAATTGTTTTGTTAGGAATCAAATGCAAGGTTAAGGGACACTAATGAGAATACAATAATAAGCACTAAGCCAACCAAAATAGTCTCTCAAACAATAGCCAACAGAAGTATTAAGAAATGCTCATGAAAAGATACCTATAAAAGCAGGTGACTTTATGGAGCTTTCCCAGATAGACATCAAGAGGCATCGTGCTACTTTATCACTCCCAAATTTCACGAAGATAAACAAGATAAACACCTATTTTCATTTCCAGAAAGAAAAAGCATAACAATTGTATCTTAGGCAGAAATTAAAAGACCTCAAGAACTCCAAAGATGAAACCCAAAATGGTAAAAAGAGCTGACTGGTCCATAATTACTCCCTGCTTAGTGCAATCATCACCGCAGTGCTCTAGATGAAAAGGCACCAGGAACAAGGGAACTTCTCATCCTTTCTACTTCCCACCCTCCTGTGCAAATGGCCTGAGCAGAATCCACATAAACTGAGGGCTTGGTCTCACTCCATGTCTTAGGGCTCCTCTTAGGGCTTCCCCACACCATCCTCTGCTCTTCTTCCTCACTGTCCTCCACCACACACAGAGTGCACTGCTGAAAGTGAAGGAATGGGTTTGTTATGGCGTAATCATAGAATCATAGAATGGTTTGGGTTGGAAGGGACCTTCAAGATCATCCAGTTCCAACCTATCTGATTTGGGTTTCACAGCCCACCTCTCCTTCTACCTATCTTGGCCATGTGCTCATAGCTCCAATGGGACTAGGCTCAGACAGAAGCAAAGAGTCTATCAGCCGGCTCCAAAGCTTCACCCACCATGAAGGGGAAGAAGAAGAAAGCAGCACTCCATGGAAGTTGAATCAAATGCACTAATACCTTAGGAAACGTTCACTGCATGGTTAAGGATCACTTTATTTCTTTGCTAATGAGGCCTTTATTTAATTACATTGAACCATTTCAACAAGTAATTTGTCAATACAAAGTGCCTTGCTGATGAGTAGCAGGAAGTGCGACTGGGCAGCAAGCACTGGCTGAAGAGGAAGATCAATAGCTGTAGCTTAAAGACAGAATAAAGAGCTTTGTTTAGGCTTCTTTTCATTCATCTAAAAGCAGCTTGGTTTTTTCCATGATCAATAAGTATCCAAGTTAAACAAATCTCTTGAAATCCAGCTTAATACCAAATGTTTGCAAGAACACACGGCTGTTCTGTGAAGCCACAATCTCAGACTGTGGTACTAGGGATCCTGAAACTTCATTATGAAACATCCCTATGCAGCTGAAGTCTGCGTGTTACAGCAGGACTGAATGTCACCTAACGTACACAAAAATAATCTGTAAGCACATAGTTGAGATCTTAAAAGGGGTTCAAACCCCGCTGACCTCTCTGGGAGCGGATACTCCCATATTCCTCAAGGTTTAAGCTTCAATGACAATGTAAGATGCTCATGGCTTTCACTAGCTTTCCATCCCCTAAACACCTTTCTAAGCGTATGCACAGCCACATCTTAAAGCATGTTCTTTGCAGCAGGGACATTTATGCCAGACATTCTAGCTGTTACACTTGGAGGTTAGGTCTCCTTAAGAGAGGGCAAAACCCAACCTGCCCACAAGCAACACTGTGAAAGTCCAAAAGGAAATTCTAAGCTCTCAGGTGTAGAACTGTCAAAAGCCAGACCTGGCTTCTCACAGTGTCTCAGTTGCCACCCTCATACCAACACAGATTGCTTTCTGTGGGAGCAGAAATCTTGTCATTTTGGATCTTCCTTAAAAAAAAAAAAAAAAAAAAGAAAAAGTGTCATTTTTTATGTTTCAAAGAAGCAGTTTTGCAGAATTTAGCACTTCAGAATCGAAAAAGGGTCCAAAATCAAATGTGTAAACCACTCCAAACTGTATTCTACAATTTCTGCATGACTTTCCAGAAAGAGTTTATTGACTGCAGAAGGCAGACACATGGTAACAACTCAAACACAGGAATATCTTTTGTCAGAAGCAGAAAGAGGTCAGCTCCATGCTTTCATTAACACATCTCCAAGATCCCTACATCCAGCATCAGCCACACACTGACCTTCAGACCCTTTGCTGTCTCTGAACTCTTCTTCAGTGGGTTTCAAATACCCAATTTTTCCTTTCAAACCGATGTGCAGGAGTAGAAAGACATGAATCCTCTAAAGACATCTGATCCTTTTTAATACTGCCATGCTGCAGCATTACATGTGAAGCTTTGGTGCTCACAGGATAATTTCAGAGACAACAGAAAGGTGCAAAGCACTGCCCAGAGTTTCTCTTTTTAAAGGGTAGTGATACTACAGTAACATCAACATCTATAGTGTAAAAAAAAACCCAACTGAATTATTAATATATTACTTTCAAACTTAAACAGCTACTATGTGTGTGAACAGTTGTTTTTCAGCATTTTGTTACACAACTGGAACACAATTGAGTCAAATTCTGCTCAGTTCCTTTCATGTAGATACTGTAACACAAAATGGGGTGGATTTTGTACTGATTTAAATTCATGAGTTTGTCCAAGACATAAATCCCCCAAACCAACACACAGACTCTGCTATTACTGCTATAAGAGCCAGTGATGGGTTTGTGTTCGTGCTGTTAGGTCAGGGTAGGAACCACCCTAACTTGTACATCTAACTTCTACATAAATTTTAGGTGCCCATATAGCTATTCTCCAAGTTAAAGGGCCTGTAAGCCCTGGGCAGGCCATAGAAAGTGGCAGATGAAAGCTTCTGGTTATGTTGCCACTTTGGCACTTGAATTTCAGCAAGTGGCTGTCAGAAGCACTGCTCTTTGGCTCTATGGGAAAGTAAGGTCTTATGTAAGGAAGGAAAATGTAGAGGGAAAGACAAGCTTGTAGAAGGAGGTATACTGGCTGTCTTCCCATGATGGACAGAAACTCCAGCCTTTACATCAGAGAAGAACTGTCTAATTCTCAACTGAGTTCTTAGGTATTTATTTCAATTTGTCTAATTTTAATGAGGGATACTGAAGGGTTAACACACTGCCTGTTTTTATGCAGCAAGTGTGTCTCTGTGCCTAAAGGCCATTTCCCTTTGGCTTTCTTACATTCAGAAGAGAGAAATAATTAAAAATTACCCTCCTGGTACCTGGATGAGGCCCCTGCTTTGATTCACAGCACCACAAAATGGTTTCATGTATTGGTAGCCCAGGGACAGGTGGAATCTTGGGGCAGGCAGAAACCCAGACTAGTTTAGACTAGAAAACTAACTTCAAAACCATGCCCGTCATCAATGTGCTTTTAATTCCCTGTACAGCTCTTGGCTTCTACTCTGGAAAATGATGAGTGAGCTACAAATCAGATTGTTAAAACTAGCTGTGCTAGTTTTAACCAACAGCCATTGTTATTCCCATGTACTAACTGCAACCACTGGGGGTTGGACTAGAGGATGGGGGTTGGACTAGATCATAGAATCATAGAATAGTTAGGGTTGGAAAGGACCTTAAGATCACCTAGTTCCACCCCCCTGCCATGCGCAGGGACACCTCACAGATCCCTTCCAACCCTAACAATCCTGTAATTTGATGATGTTTTGTATGAAAGAGGAAGATATTTTACAATAGTTCAAATGAATGACCAAGCCAGATAAACATGCTGGCTCTGGCAGTGGCCATGGCACATGACTTGGCCATTTTCTGCTGTCTGTTGGATTCCCCTGAGCATCCACAGTTGTTACACTACAAATATTACCTTTCCACCTCATCCCCTCCTGTCTGTCTTGCCCTCAATACATGGCCTGCCCATTTTGAGTACAATGTGATGAAGTGCCATAGTTTAAATCTTAAAACTTTTATTCTTTTATTCTAAATGATGTTAAAGAAACTGGACCATTTTGTCCTTCAACTTTTCAAAGTCACATTTCACACAAATAAAATCCAACATTCCTACTTATGGAGTATCCTTCTAAGTACTAGATGTTTTAAGCACCTTACAGTTCCAGGCTGAAACCCTTCTTAACTTAAACATAGTAAATAACTTGCCTATAAAGTCAAATACTCCATTTTAAATATTAGCAGCTGGTAAGACCAGCATATGTTGACTTTATTATGGATTATTCTCATGTGACACAAATAGAAAGAATTGTAGAGTTTAAAAGTAAAAGCTCCAAATTAATCTTTAAATGCTTTAACCAAATATCAAGGCTTTTTCTGCAGAAGTCTAAATAAAATCTTTATCTGTGCTTAGAAGCTCATGCAAATGTATTCAAAATGTACTCTCTGGATCTCTTACCATGGCAGATTGGAAGCTGCTAAAACAAATACAAGATCATCAGATCGGGCCAAGCCATCCATCTGCACCAGTAATTCTGTTTTCATCCGTCGACTTCCTTCATGTTCACCACTACCAAGATTCAGAGAAATATTATTTGCTCAGTGCATTAAAGTAATCATCTTTATTTATACAGTGTCATTCACAGCAACTGAGCCCTTGTCACAGTTTTGCCCCACTTCAAAGCATGATTAAGCTCCATTAGCTAACATCTAAGCATTAAAAATCAAGCTTTCTAATGATTACTTAAATGGACTCTCTTCAGTGCATTAAAGTGAGGAGAACTCACTAGAATCCACAGAAAATATTTATTTTTTTATTTATATAAATCTCTACACAACACTGATATTTACTGGAAAACAGCTAAAGTTTGGTTGATCTATGTAAGAGAACATTTTTAATGTGATAGTTGCCATTAAATAACTAACACAAGGCAAGCATACGGCAACTACTGGCATTTTTCTGTGAGTTAATGCTAAGTGGCCATAAGAAGATTTTGAATTCAGTATTTTGCAAAATGTTCTGTCAAAAGCAAACAGAAAAATATTCCATATTTAAATGAAAAATGGGGCAGAGACCACACGGAAGGGATCCTTCCTCAAAAATAGAAGGGGAACTTAAGCAAAGTGATAAGAACTCTGGCCCTGATCCAGGTAACCAATTTTGCAGGAAACCAGTTTGAACTCTTGGTCCCAGATGTGGAGTTCTTGGAAATTCCAGGATCAAACTCAGAGAAAAAATCAGAGTCTTAAATGGTAAAAGCTACAACTCAGGTTTAATGGCTTACTTCTGCAGAAGCATAGACACATTAGTGCCAAGTCAGTATTTAATAAGGATGTGTAAAAACAACTATATAATCTTTGATAAAAATCCTTACTAAAATACATAATCCAGTGATGTTTAAAAGTATTTATGAAGCCAAAATCTGGCTCATAATTAATAGCAATTAACTGACAAGTATTACAAGTTGTATCTTTACAATATGGCATACTGTATTTATAAATCTTTGTGAGTATATAATTTACAGTACATGAAATCCACTGTAATGGGCTTCTAATGGATATAGCAGTATTTTTATATTTCTCCTGCTTCTTCCTCATCCCAAAGCTTTTCAATCTGTTTTTAACAATAAACTGTCTATGCCCTGGATGACAATAATGACATCCTCCCATTCCTGCATCTGGAAGTCACAAGAACGTCACCTAAATTTGTCCCATTAGTGGAAATGTCATTCCACTGTGTACACCCATCTTACCCTGTTACACCTAAGCCTGTCCAGTGTCACAACATCAGCTGCTTCTTACTCGGCTCAGACAAGTCACCTGTTGTTTGCCCCCCCACATTTCTACTTCAAATCCCTCATCATTTTAAAACACAGCACCACTGGTTACACACTCTTGCACTTCCCTTGTTCTACCAGTCTCACTGAACCCATAGTCCCTTGTTAATCTTACACAACCTTTCACACTTGCGTTTCTACTGATCTCATCTATTGTGAATGGAACAACCACTGTATCTTGCTCTTTAAATCCCCACAGCATATGCAATACTTCCATGAAGCAGCACTTTCAGAGCTGAATGATAGGCATTCTGACAATAACACACTGTGAGGCTCTGACAGCTGACAACAGAACAAAAGAAAAATTGCTTAATAAAAAGTCAAGAAAATTAACCATTAGCACTCAAAGTAATTATAATGTCAATAAAGTCTGAAAGACATGTCTTTCAGGGACACAGTCATGCTCCTGTTGAAGTCTGTAGGGTAGCCTCAGGCTCTAGTTTAGCTAAGATTAATCTCTAACAGGTACACTCTGTGATTAAACACTGGTCAGCACCTGAACACACACACAGAGTATTGAAAAGATACAGTAAAAGGGAGAAAAATATTCTCCTAAAGCCATAGTAAGTAGTCTCATCAGTTACCCAGGAGCAGTGCCTCTTTGACTCATAACTGACTCCAGCTCATCCAAGAAAATTGTGGAAGGAGCATGGTACCGGGCAAGCTCAAATAATACCTGTTTAGAGAGAAGAGTAAATGTGAAAGAGAAGATAAACTTACACAAAAAGGCATTAAGGACCACTGGACAGAAGATAAATTTAACAGCACCCATTTTCTAAACTCCTAGGACAAAAAGGGGTATCTGCTGGGAAAAAGCTCTGGGTAGGCTGAGCATCCCTGAGTCCTCTCAGATTCTCAAAGGTCTGTAAAGGAAGTATAAAGAACACAGCCCTGTAATCCTGTCTCTATATGTATATAGAGATAATAAATGCATTCATGGGACCTCACTTGGATCATTGTGTACAGCTGTGGTGTCCTCAACATAAAAAGGACACGGAACTGCTGGAACAAGTCCAGAGGAGGCCACGAGGATGATCAGGGGACTGGAGCACCTCCTGTATGAAGACAGGCTGAGAAAGTTGGGGCTGTTCAGCCTGGAGAAGAGAAGGCTGTGTGGAGACCTCAGAGTGCCTTCCAGTATCTGAAGGGGGCCTATAAGGATGCTGGGGACTGTAGTGACAGGACAAGGGGTAATGGGTTCAAACTTAAACAAAGCAAATTCAGGTTAGATATAAGGAAGAAGTTCTTTACTGTGAGGGTGGTGAGGCACTGGAATGGGTTGCCCAGGGAAGCTGTGAATGCTCCATCCCTGGCAGTGTTCAAGGCCAGGCTGTACAGAGCCTTGGGTGACATGGTTTAGTGTGAGGTGTTCCTGCGCATGGCCAGGGGGTTGGAACTGGATGATCTTAAGGTCCTTTCCAACCCTAACTGTGCTATGATTCTATAAATATTTCTGGATAAATCCTATCAGAGTATCCTGTGAATAATGGGATAGAATAAAATGATCATCTGAGAATTCTGGGAACTCCTCAATTGTTATGAGACTAAACATATATCTTTTGTTGTTGCTCCATTTGTAGTTCGTTTTTTTTTTTTTAATATGGATTTAAGAGAAAAAAATACAAGTCATCTGAACCATGATGAAAGAAAACGGACTGGTTCTCTTGATAAGAAACAAGAGTTCTTTTGTTTTTCCTGGTGAAAGCAAACATAATCTTTAATCAAGATTAAAAAATAGAGTATAAAGCTGACACAAAAAATCTGGGTCTGCCATTTGGAGAAAGAAATTTCTTCTGTATTTCTGTGGACAGGCTTATATTAGAGGTAAGAGCATACTGTCAGTCCTTCAGTGAAGTATTCTTAAGAGTTTTTAAATGAATATCACTAACAATATATATTAATTCAGCACTTTCTAATCTGAACACTTAAAAAAACCCCCCAAATTTAAAAAGATGATATGTATCTTCTACATGTTGGATATGAAGCACAGGGTTTAAATTATTTGCCCAGTCTATATTTTTATTACAAATCTGAAATATAAAATCACATCAATACAGCCAAGAACTGAGGAGAACAGGTTGAGTGGACATGCCCACAAATGACTACAAAAGCTCACTTATCCTTCACACAATTTCAGAAGACTCCTGCTCCAGCCTCATGTGAATTCAGGATATAAATTCACACAATACTTCTCTTAGAGCTGTCCTGATCGACAATCTTATTTCATTGTTGGACTCTGCCAAAAACTCAACTAAGGGTAAAATGCTACAAATTCAGTATCACTGCAAACGCTGCAGCATGTTCGCAAAAACCTTTTGGATGATGGTGTCAAAAAACAGACTGTCCCTTCCCTATTCCTGCCAGAAGGGAAACTTCTAGGAAGCTACTGAGACAGACTTCAAGAGGATCAGTAACACAGTAGGTTAATGTCAGAAGAAAAATGTGCTATTTTAAAGGACACAGGACATATGAAGAGTAATCATGTTGCAGACATTGCCTAAAATTCAAGAGAGATTAACAATGCTTGCAATGCCATTTGCCAAGCGCAATCTGTTACGGTTATTCACTCTCAAGAGTTCTGTATCCATCCGAAGTGCAGCCAACGAGATAAGCATAAGGGAAGGCAAAGAGCTTATGGATTTCTCACACCAAAATGGTGGACATTTATAACAGAGATGTTATATTGGGCAAGGATGCTACACCTGAATCCCTGAATGTTTCTGTACCACAGCACAGCCATGCATGCTAATTGCTAGGCTATATGCAAAAATACATCTGCCCATTTACCATCAAACTACCTTCTTTAAAATATCATCACATCTGTATTTGACTGTAAGATCTCTGTGACACAGGAATTCTTTGCCAATTCTGTGCCCTAAGAACTAAGAATAGTAGTGAATTTGGGAATCTAAGTAACATTTTCTAAGGAGCCTAAGAGCCAACCCTTGCAGAAAGGGTATGAAGTGCTTTGAAACAGTCGCTAAGCAGACACTGCTTTACTCAGGAGCTCTGCTTGCCTGTCTGTTATTCAGTGAGTCAAGAATAGAATCACAGAATCATAGAATATTTATTTAAGGTTGGAAAGGACCTTAAGATCACCCAGTTCCAACCCCCCTGCTGTGGGCAGGGACACCTCACACTAAACCATGTCACCCAAGGCCCTGTCCAACCTGGCCTTGAACACCACCAGGGATGGAGCATTCACAACTTCCTTGGGCAACCCATTCCAGTGCCTCACCACCCTTACAGTAAAGAACTTCTTCCTTATATCCAATCTAAACTTGCCCTGTTTAAGTTTTAACCCATTACCCCTTTTCCTATCACTACAGTACCTAGTGAAGAGCCCTCTCCAGCATCCTTGCTGCCTTCATCAGCTTCATCTTACACTACAGAACTAGAATTCCACAGCAAGAATCCATTGTGAGACACCTACAGAAGTCATGTTATTCCCATTTGAAGAACAAGATACATACGTTGTCCAATACAGGAGAGATTAGGAGTATCAGATGAATACTCCACTGTCCAGCTCTGTGTTAAACTCCAGTTCTTTAAGTGGGAACCTGATGTTTGTTAAAGTACAAGAAATGACAGAATAATTCTTACCCGGACAAGTTTTTCTGAATCACCCCTCCATTTGCTGACAATGGTGGATGCTGATATGTTGAAAAAAGTTGTATTGCATTCTGTGGCAACAGCCTTAGCAAGCAAAGTTTTCCCAGTACCTACAAACAACAGTGTTGAAGAAAGTCTCTGAAGATTTGTTTAGACTCTAAAGACTGTTGATTCAGTCTTTAAAGAAATACAATGCAAACGTTTGAATAATTCCCCTCATTATACTACCAGTCAGATAGAAACAGTAAAATAGGAGTCATAGAAACAGAGAATGATGTGGGTTGGAAGGGAGCTTTGAAGGTCATCTAGTCCAATCCCCTCCAAGCTGATCACGAACATCTTCAACTAGATCAAGTTGCTCAGAGCCCTATCCAAGCTGACCTTCAGTGTTTCCAGGGATAGGGCATCTACCACCTCATGTCTACCGCTTGTGCCAGTGTTTCAGAGTCATTCACTAGCCCGAATCTCCCTTCTTTCAATTTAAAACCATTACCTTTTGTCCTGTCATACAGATTCTACAAAAAGCCTCTGTCCCCATTTTATTGTAAGAACACTTTAAGTAGTGAAAGGCTGGAATAATGTCTCCCCAAAGCCTTCTCTTCTCCAGGCTGAACAAGCCCTGCTCTCTCAGCCTGTGCTCACAGCAGAGGTGCTCCAGCCCTCAGATCATTCTGTGGCCCTTCTAGGATTGCCTGGAGAAGCTCAGGTAATACAGCGCTAGAAATGCATTCCTCAAATTCTGAAGTACTACATGCTGAAATGGTTTCATGTCTTCGCTGCCAAGTACATTTAAGATTTACAGGAACAAATGGAGTTTACTGCAGTGACAGTCTTTGCAACCTGGCTCTGGAGGTACGTGTGCCCTCTGTCTCTTTCCAGTCATACTCATGGTGATAATGCTTGTGTCAGAGTGGAACACAGGGAGCAGTGAAACTGTGCTGACATGAACAACACTCAGCTAGCACAGCAGAGAGCAAGGCTTTCACCCCATTTCTAAAACAACCCCCAAACACAAAAGAAAGAAAGAAAGGACAAAGGACACCTCCTTAAGGAGGTGAGTCCAGATTTATTCACATTTCATAAGATCAGGTCAAGCCAAACTTGATTAATATGGTCCAAGCTGAGTGAAAACAGAGATACGAGTTCTCCCTCCTCTGAATGGTTAGCGCAAGTACTGGTTTTGGAAGGTTAAGGTGTAGAAATGATCAAGGGTTGTGAGAAAGGAAAATGGACAGGTTTGAGTGCCAGAGATAGACATAATCACTCAACACTATCTCCTTTTATTTCACATTAGAGAACATGTTCTTCATTAACACATTTGATCTAATTAGCATCAATGATTTATCCATGGGACAAAACAGGAAGCAGTGATAAACAGGGTATAAAGCTCTCCATACCTGGTGGTCCATACAGCAATAATCCTTTCCAAGGAGACAGAATGCCAGTAAACAGCTGTGGGTACTGTGGAAACAGAAAAGTAACTGAGGATTAAAAATGCAGCAATTATAAAAAATGCAAGGGACTCTAACCCCTACCTCCACTGCTCCTAACGTGTTCAGGAAATGTAAGAAATTTGAAGAGAGGGGGATAAAACCCCTCCAAAACAATCTGTGTTTGCTATTTGAAATGTGGTTTAAATGAATTCTTCAAATGCAATTGGTTTGAGATTCTCTTCTTTAAGCCGTTTTCCACTGAATTAATACAGGCCAAATCCAGCACCTCTTACCAAAAACAACACCCAACACTAATAATTCTAATATTGAAAGGCCATTTTCCTGTAGGAGAATGGGTATGCCATTGTCAGATGAAACAGGAACAGAAACAGTTTTAACATAACTGCCTACAAAAGCACAGAAACAGAGAACCCTAAAACACCACCATAATTACAAGGAAAATGCTAATGAGCCAAAGAGTGGTTTTCTCGAAACTATTTTGCTCCTTACCCTTATAGGATAAACAACTGCTTCCTTGACCAGTCTTTTAGCCGCATCCAGCCCAATAATATCATCCCACTTCACGTTTGGATTATGGAGATAAATGTCCTGCAACATACACCACATCCTGTTAGCAAAATTTCTTGTGCATTTGGATAATAATCTCTGGCAAAGTAAAAGAATTGACTCAGCTATAAAGAGTGCTTTTAAGTGATAGAAACCATATTATTTAACCTTATGTCCTGGAGACCTCCCCAAAGGAAAGCATACACAGCAATCATTTCTACAGAGCTGCTTCATTGTGCCTTGCTTCCCTTCAAGCCCCTAGTTTCCCTAAGAGTATATATACTGCTAAATGTATATGTTGAGCAGATCTGTTTCTCAGATCTGTTTTCTGATAGTTGCTTTTAGTAACCAACTAACACATGAAGAGCTACCACGACATGAACCTTCACTAACCCTAATATTTTGTCTCTTACGCTGGCAAGTATTGGATGTTTAAAAACAAGTGTAAGCAACAGGAGTGACATGTTGGTTCATATTTACATTCACCAAAAATCTGCAACCAAAGGACTTTGATAATTAAAATTACATCTTAGTCTTTGAATTCAAACACCCTCTGACATTCATTCTTAGGTGAATTTCTCTTACCTCTGTTTTGAACATGTTACTCTGTAGCAATGAGTTCCACAGTTTAATCATGTGCAATATGAAAGTACTTTTGTTTGGTTTAAACTTGACACTCAGTAACTTTATGGCTGCACCTATTGCTTATATTATTACTTATAAGTAACAGTAAAAAACTGCTATTTACTCACACTATAGAAGACTTTATATGTTGCAGGAAAAGCTGTGAGAAACTCTAACAGCAGGAAAATATTCCCCTAAGCATCTATCAAAAGATAGTCGGTAATTAGTCTATGCCCTGAAGCACTCACTAAATTAATTTCATTTAATTCATCAAACTTTCCAAATCTTCTATGAATCTTTACATTTGCCTTAGCAATATTCTGTGGCTTTGAGTTCCAGAGACTAATTGTTCTGCACAGAATATCCTATCCTCAGTACAAATACTTTGGATAAGTTCTGCTCTCCAATGAAAACAGGCAGTCCCCAGAGACTGAAGAAAAATTATGTGCTTATATCCAAGGGGAAAATATGATTTAATACAATTAGGGAAAATATTTATATAGATTACACTTTCCCTTTTTATTAACAGCAAATTAAGATGAATCAAATTTCTGCTACTAAGTAGAGACTTCCATAACTGTTTCCAAATTAAATTAGATTGTATTGTAAAATAGATACCATGTGCTATTTATTTTTATTGATTTACACAGTGTTGATTACCATAGCAACTAGGAACATACTAGCACTCCTTACAAAACATACCATAATGAAGGTTTAAAACAGTTTACAAAACATACCACAATGAAGGTTTAAAACAAGCCTGTTGCTTCTTTATAAAGTAGTAATAAGAACAACATACTTCTAAAGGTAGACCATTAATTAAATTTTATTTAATTAAATTTCATGTAATGAGAACTGAATTGAAATTACTGAGAATTTTCTTACTTTAAGGTTGGAAATTTCTTAAGAGGTCAATTCTACTGAAGTGCAAACGCAAAACTTGTAGACCAACAGTTTCAGCCATATATAGCTATAAAAATCAGTCAGCAAAAGTTTTACAGCTGGTTTTAAGTATGTGTGAGCAAGAGCTGATACCATTTCTGATGCTTATAGAATGTAAGAGTCATAACACTATCAGATATTGTGATACTCCAAAGACAAGTGCCTTTTGGGTTTTGGAAAGTGATGCATGCAAAACATTTACCTGCTTCATAGCCACTGATCCCCAGTAGCCCAGGGCGTGTTTGCTAGACTGCACCTCAACTCATGAGTGAAATGAAAAGAGGCTGACAATATTGGAATTCCTTCCAGGTACATTAAATAATAGTTGATATTAGCTAATATATTTAAATATCTCTTTTCAGTGTTGTATATAGCAGTAAGAACAAAGGGAAAAGCTATGACAGTCTCATGGGTACAGCATGATTAGATTACATGTTGCCCATTAGAAAGGAATGGTCTTAATTACTTTCTCCCATTGGGAATCAGAAAGAAACATCATTACGTAAAGAAATGACCTGCTGGGAGTTGCATGATAAGAAAATATCCTGCACATTCACGAATAAACACTATCAGTGACAGTAGAAAGAAACAAACAGAATTCTCAGATGACAAGGATAACCACAATCTCTATAAAACCAAAATGGAGATCCAATCTTACTTTGCTTACAACTGTTGCAAGTTCTCTCATCTCACCAGTCATGCCAATAAAAGCACTAAGGGGTTTTAATAATCGTTCCTAAAAAGAAGACAAATGTAAGTTCTTGTCAGACCTCTGTTATTTTGAAATAGATAAACCATGAAATAGTTTCAAAAAAGCTGATACATCATAATATCTGCTTTGAAGGCTGTAAAAATATAGATAATAATAAAGATTTTGAAGTAAGCCGTATTTGCAGTAACTCTTCTCATCTGAAAGAATCTAACCCTGAAGTAACGTTAAAATGAGCAGCCCTCTTACTGCACACGTCCTAAACATGCCCTACATATATTAAGAGGACTGAAAAATGTCACTAGGGGTCACTGCATCATCACATTCTGTGTATTGACAGTCTGCAGACTGCCACCACCCAAGTTGGATGCACCGTCTGAGAACCAATGGCTTGTTTCAAGGAGTTATCAGTGAAAATTTCTCTAAACCACCCAAACTCTGTTCTTATCTCAGCCAAGGCAGACACTAAATAACATACTGAATTCAAAGGAACCAGTATTTCACCCTCAGAAGTTCTGCATGTTTCTGCAGTATGTTTTTGGGATGAACCCTAAGGCATCATTCGTATTTGCTATCTTCTTTCATGTTCAATGACAACATTGTTGTGGTATTTTGCTCCTTGTTATGTAAAACTGATGCTCACATTCATTGGAAATATGAACAGAAACACTTACTGATGGATCCGGGTCACAGTTAAGGCTGTTCAAGACTATTCCATTTGATGATACTTTGACAGCATCCTGAATCATCCCATGGAAGTCAGTTACCTGGCCCTAAAGGAGAAAATAATGTTGTGATAGGCTTTACAATGATGGTAACTATGTTGTTAAAACTGCACTGGTCCAAATTTTGCTTGCCATTACAGCAATGAATTTCCTTACTTCATATATGGTTTTAAATATGGAAAAAACTGCCCCCAGAATCTATGGTAGCAATGGGAAAAGAACACACATTTCAGTCATACAACCATTTAAGCGCTGAGCCTCCTATCATCTCATTCAGGAATCTGAAATTTATCTTCAATTTTAGCTATTACCACTGGGTTTTAAAACCAGAAATATTTCTTCTTCTTGATTATGTTTGAAACACTATTTAATGCAAAGAATTAATGCCCAAATAATAAAATTCACCCTTTGGCTAATTATATATGAAAATTTTCTCTAAAATTACATAAAAAAGCTGGTATTTAATATTTGTGAAAAACTCTAAGATAAGTTTCTTTCTACAAGCATATTTCTATCATAAATTACATACTAGGTTTCCACCAACCCTTCTTGTGTGAGTGCCATCTCCTCCACTTTTGCTGATTGCTGAGATGTTTAAGCCAAAGTCAGACTGCTCCAGAGTAACTGCACTGTCATTATTCTAGAGAAAAGTAAAGTTTAAACCAGACGTGTTACCAAATAGATGAGTTTCACCTCTTCATACATGCCCAGACAAACCATATCATTATGTGGAAATTGCAAGAGTAATCCCATATTTGTCAGACAAACACCACAGTGCATTTAGTTAGACTTCCTCTAACTGGTGACTGCAGTGGTGAAAACTATGTCTCTGGAGCTCAGCATTCAAGCTATTTCATGCATGGAGCTCCCAGTTTAAGTTGCAGGTATCTGCATTTTACATAGCTATGAGAAGAAACACAAACAGTGGAAACGACATCCATATATAAGGCACAGCATGTCAACTCAGAAATGAAGAGGTTTTTCAGATCCGAAGTTATTTTGACATACCCAACAGCAGCTATTGCTGTAAAATCAAAAATCTAATGCTTGTTTTTTTAATTTTTTTTTTGAAGGGTGAGAACTGGTCAGAGATGAGGTGCTCTCTGTGAAGGAATATAGACAAGGACCTGAAAAAAACCCAGAGGTTGTCCTTCACCTAGCTCCTCAAAAGCTGTAAGAGACATGGTGCTCGCCCACCAACCTGCTGTTCCTGCTCCATCCTCTGTAAAGGATGATAATAAAGTAGTTTTGACACAATCTTACCAAAATGAGACTCACAAACCCAGAAATTACAGAGCCAAATTACTCCCCCAATCTCACACCTTATGCACTGTGAAGATGCTTAAAACTGACTGCAGACTTTCTACTTGCTTGGCTTGTCCTGCTTTCTGGCACTAAAGGATGAATCTAATGGGAAAACTCTGGTTGCTTTCCATATATGCTGGATTATATGACTCTTTTTTCTCTAATTTTTGCTTGTGACATGCTCCCCAAATCACAGCCAGGAAGCATATTCTCCTTGCATCAGTCTTGCATTCATAATCTTTAAATCGCATAATTAGTAAAAAGTATTAGTAACATAATTATTAATTGAGCAACTCACATCCTCTCGCTGCCTATAGCCTCTCAAAATAAACTCACATTAATTTCAACGACAGTGCCAAGATAAAACACATGCAAACCTGGCTGGGGCTCTTCTTGGTGAAAGATTTGAATTCTGCTGCACTTCCAGAGGAGGTTGTTAACAATGGTTGTTGCACTGTCTGATGTCTGAGCCTTGGGAGGTTATGAAAAGAGCTTGCTGCCCTAAAATTAAAAAAAAAAAAAAAAAAAAGAAAGACTTTCACAACTTTTTTCCTTCAAAATACCAAGATTAAAAGGCAGAGATTTCAAATAAAGCAGTGTCTAGCTACCTTTGCTCCCACTGAAGTTAAAGCATCAATTTCAATCACAGCGAAGTTCAATCTTACTGCTTGCAAATACGCCACCCCACCTCAGCTACACTGCAAAAACTCTGTAAGTTGTCTGGATCTCCATTTGGGAAATAAGTCTCTGCTTTCCTCTAGCAGATACAGGAAAATGTGCCACAGAGTCAGCAGTGTGACTCTACACTTTAGTATTCCAGTGGTACCACAACATTATTTTAACCATGCTGCATATTGCTTTTATAGGAAAATTTTCTGCACAGGAAAGAAAACCATATATTTCTCTTACCTTCTTGGTCTTCCCCTAGTTCTCAGCTGTTGTTTATTTTCTGCTGAGACAAAATTAATATTAAAATGGAAAATAATTAAGGATATAAAAAAGAGCAACTTGATTTCATTTCCCTCACCCATTCAAACATACTTTTGAGCACACAGTAACGACTTTGGAAATACTGCATAAACAGGAATAGCATGATTATAAGCAATATAAGCTTGCAAAAGTGTTTTGAAAAAAAAATGATATTGGAGAGAGCAGTTTGGCTTCGGGCTTGTTAAATTTTAGGTTCAATTCAGTCTTTGGTTTCTTTTCTTTCATTTTAAAACCAATATCATTTTCAATGTAAGATGGACACGACCAGAAATCAGATTAAACACTAACTTAAACTAATTTAATATACCACATGGAACACCTATTTAATGCAAATATTTTTTTTTTCATTGGGAAATAAGAATTTGCCTTACTTGTCTTAATACTGATTTTATCATGGTTCAACATACCAAGACAGTATAAATGCCACATTACAATGGCGGTTATCAAACTGTTTCTAAGTCATTTTACCTATATAGGAAATTTTTTGTGTTTATCAAACATTTCATTTACCTGTGATCTGAAAGTTGTTGGAAGCCATATGAAACAATGACAACTGCTCAGAGATGTTCTCTGGTCAATCTTCCCCTTCTCTGATAACTCGTATTTTTCTTACAAGACAAACAGGTACAGATGTTGGTGTTCTCTGTAGCTTTCAAGCTTTTCAAAACTGATTCTTACACAGTAGTTCTTATGGCTTCTATAAGTTACATTTTGTGCTCAAGTACAAAACCACTCAGGCTCTCAGCTTCATAACAGAATGCTCATATTCTGATTTGCTTTATTCTGTATCATTCATTAATAACTCAGACTTCAAGTCCTTTGGAGCAAATAAAGCTATTACTTTTTTGGCACATTACCTTTAGGATATGAAAACGTGCAAAAGAGATGGTTAACGAGATGAGTGATGATAAACTTTTAAGCAATAGCTTGGATGAGCTAAGTTATAATATTTCATTAAAGTGGTTTAATTTCAAAATTAAATCCAAAATAGAACAGACTTACTACGGTCTTCCCAGGAAAGGAAAGTGAATACATCTATGGCACAATATTTTGCACTTACATGGCATTTTCCATGATCAAAGCAGTTTTAAAAAGACAGAAAAATACAACCTTCTTGTTCCTCTACAGAAAGAGAGAAGGAAGAGCAGAAGAGCTCAAAGCCCCATGTCTCAATTCTTACATCATATGTGCTAGAACTATAACTCTGTAACTGTATGAGTTCAAACATTAAATGCTGATATACAAGAGAAGTGTGGTGAGCACATCAGGCAAATACACATTTTAGGCTTTGGAAACAGTCTTTCATTTTGGAACACAGCCACATACCAGTGTCCGGGACCTTTTTGGTAATTTTAGGATACTTCTGAAATTTTACAAAGTAATAGCTTTCATATTCCATCAAAATTGTCTCAAGATCAATGTTGTCACAAACTTCAAAGCCACGTAAACTTAATTTCGTCTCTTGTTCCAAAGCATATGCAGCATCAACGTACCTGGTAATTAAATAAAAACAACAAACGAAACCAACAACTGTGAGTCATTATCTTACTCTGATTGTTGAAAAGGCAAACAATGGCATTAGTGTGCGTATGGTATTTTTAACCTGTCCCCAACTACGTTTATTATAAAAGCATGAAGTTCTTTCCTGTAAGGGTGGTGAGGCACTGGAATGGGTTGCCCAAGGAAGTTGTGAATGCTCCATCCCTGGCGATGTTCAAGGCCAGGCTGGACAAAGCCTTGGGTGACATGGTTTAGTGTGAGGTGTCCCTGCCCATGGCAGGGGGGTTGGAACTAGATGATCTTAAGGTCCTTTCTAACCCTAACTATTTTATGAATCTACAAACCCCATTAAAAAAACCTTTGCTGATTCATCTGAAATATTTTTAAATTATATAGGAAATTTTTGGTCCAGAAACTGAAATAATTTAGCAAAGTAAAGAGCCAAGACATGTAATAGTAGTTTAACTCTTCCTCATATGAAACCAAAAGGCCATGCTGTGAACCCACCCAACAGAAGACAGGACACATCACAAGAGGTCAAACATGCGCAAACCTACAAATGTACAACATTATTCTTTAAAAAGAACATACCCTTTCTCCATTAAATAATGCAGAATTAGAATGAGGAGATTTTTTCGACGAGCTTCTGTTCGCATCTCATCCTGTGAATTAACACAAAGCTCTGGATCAAATGTAATATTCTCTTTATTGCTGTAAACAGCATCTAAATGTAGCCTGTGGAAACAAACAAATTAAGACAACAGCATGCAAGAACTGTAAAACAACTCACTGTTAATAAACACAAGGAAAGCTGGTTTCAATGTAATTTTTCTTACACATTATCAGGGCTACTGAATGGGTAGAAACCTTTTCCTAGGGAAGAGAACATTACTTTGAGGTTGCAAAAATAACTTACTTCCCTTACTATGGTTGTGGATTTCCACCATGTCCAGGCTGCTGCGGATTTCAGGGTAAGACTCTTGCAGACCTCATGCACAGTGTCTCCAAGGGCTGTGCAAGGAAACCTCATGCTCCAGTTTGGCTGTGTCCTTCTCTTTCAACTAGAAACACACCTTCTGAGTGCTTGGAGAAGTGCGGATGGAGAACAGGTATGGGATCTGCATGACTACACTACAAAGACCAGCTGTAACGCTGCTGGCACCTCCCATTTCACAGGCCTTGATACATAAACACATGTGAAATAGAGCACGTGAGGGGTTTGTAGTTTGGGGTAACACCATACTTGCCTGATTTTAACATATGATTGAACAAAGTCAGGTCCCAACATGCGGAAATTTTAATATGGAATTAGTCCCTGGATTTCTCCACACTGACTGGAGAATCCAAAGTTATTCACAAATGGCTCAGTGTTAAAACAAGGCAGCATGAAATACCTTCACCATCATTTAGAGAACCCACATCTGTATTGAGTACAACAAAAGGGGCAGTGGAAACAGAAATCTTGCAAGATACTAGAATAAAGCCTTAATCTGATGAAACATGCCATATATGCCAAGTGTCTGTAGAGAAACCCTGAGACTCTAGGGTTGCAACTGAAGTTGCTATAAGGAGAGCTCTAAAAATCAGCATATTGGCTTTGATCTGCCTCATCGGGATTTGAAGCTGTGACCACAGGAAAAGCAGGTATGGCCAAACCCGCATTTACGATAATAAATAATTTCCTTTCCCTTTTAGGGTGCTGGCATTCAGCACTGGGACCTGCACTCGATGATCCTTATGGGTCCCTTCCAACTTGAGACATTCTATCATTGTATGATTCTGTGATTACTTACAAGGACCCAGTGTGAGCATGAAAGGGTTCAGTGAACAGGGAAAGAGCAGTAGTTTTTGTTGATTGCAGAGCACATACGTATATACTTCATCACATTGCACAGCAATGCATACACAGACTCCCAATTCCACCGAGTTTCCCTCCCTTCTGTTCCAAATCAATCAGTGCCTGCATCCATTCCCAAGAAAAAGCCTAGCCCAAATGTTAGGAAACTACAGGTGACAAACCCACAAATCTTTGTCCTCTTCATACTGGAAGCAGAGCCCCAGCATCTGTATCTATGGCTTCTGCTGCTCTCTGACAGTGCCTGGCACACAAACAAGCCAAAGAGTTAGTACTGGGCTTGTTTTTAAATCCCACAAGATGCCTAAAAGAAATATTCACATGGAAAGACAATTTCTCTATCCTTCCTGGTCTCTTTGAAGGAAGCATCTTTATTGGAAATTGCAGATACTGAAGAATTAAGGTGCAAAGGTGCTTTTGGGTGATGTAATTTGCTGCAAAACCAACTTTCATCTTTTTGCATGCTGCTCCTTTGTCAGATTAGACCTACCTGCTCCCTCTGCTCTGGACACAGCAGTGGGTATCATATAGTGCTCTGCTGCCGATTTAAACACTTGAGATAGCACAATCAGCTATTGTTTTATTTTAAAACTAATAGCTCTCCGTGTGTTTGCCAACCTGTAAAAAGCACTGGGTAGAGCAGGCAAAAGTTCCGTCTAGCAGGTGTTTTCTGGGATGCCTGCTTCAGACGTGGGGCCATCTAGTGACACAAAGAAGAAAGGGCTGGGGTTTGCTTTTACCAGTGTTTCCTGGGAAGTGGAAAGTGCGTTTGCATTTCACTTACAAATAAAAAGACTAGTAGAATCTTCATTCTGGTTTTCTAGTGATAAAACTCAAACTAGCTGCAGAAAAGGGAAGAAATCATATCGCACTTCTAGCCTTTACGACCTTTGATACCCCCTTCCTGAAAGTTATGTGGTCACTCTGCTTCTGACTCCACAAGAAGCTACAAGACCATTTACCTTTCAGCAGTGGTACAGAGATGATTGTTTTAAACCATTTGGGGGAGTAAGAGTGCCGTGTAAATGCTTGAGTGAACTAGATAGGCTCATGAGAGGTGCTGCAACAAGAAATGAACCAATTCTGAGAACCGTCATTAGCAAAGAGAAAACATTTACTCCTGGGAAAGGATCTTTTCCTTCCTACTGTTCTTTGGTGTTTGGAAAACAGATTTTGAATTGTGGACCTTTTACCATTTCTCCTGGATGATCTGAATCTTCTGAAGCAGAGTTGGAGGTGCAAGAAGGAAGCTGGAATCATCACTCCTGGACAGTCCCACCTGTATGTTCTACATGCAACTGCTTCTGCTGTTTTATGCTGAGAAAAATTAGCTGTTGTGTTTACTCACATATCAAAGGGCAAGATCACAGCTACTCTGAATATTTAAAACATACTGTGAGAACACAATGGTTGCAACAGAAGACAAACACATCAAGCGTTTCAAGTATTTACATTAATACTCTGACATGAGATGAATTGCATCTGCCTGACAGGGCTCACAATCCATGCTTGGAACTTTCCTTGAAAAGAATTTGTATTCTGGTGTATCTTCTGCTGCTGTTCATCCAACTAGGTTACTTCTGCTATCCCTCAGGGCATTTGAAATTACAGTGATGGGCAGCATCTCAAATACTGTAAGCAGAGATTTGCTTTGGGTATAGGATAATGCTGTGCCTATCCATGAGCAATCCACTTCAACCTTAACCTGGTAATGTTCTTGTTCTGTTGACCAAGCAGAAACAAAAGTGAACCTTTACATCAAAGGAGAGACCCATCTAAAAATCAGAACAGAGTTTAGACAGAGAGGTACATTCTGTCTTTATCTCTTGTTAATAAGAATGCAAACAACAATGGCTAATTTTGAGAGGTCAGATATGTGTTCAAAGAAAATTAGCTGGATGTTAACCTGTTGATAACAAAGAATTCCATGAGATTGGATCTGAAAAAGAGAACCAAGATACTAGTATATCCAGTCCCAGTTCTGTGAGGTTTCTATAAAACAAAAAATTAAGGGCCTTACAAAATTACAGGTCTTGAGAGTCAGTGGTGCTTGACCAGTCTCAGAAAGCCACCTCTCCCAGCCATTCACCACTCCTATTTTACCATGTACTCTTTCCATGAAGTAGATGAACCTCTGCATGTGTCAGTGCCACCAGTAGCTTCAGCTGTCCACCCAAAAGACCACTCTGCCAATGAGATAGGATCTCCTGTCCTGACTCCAGTTTATTGTCTAGGGACTGACCCCCACTGCAAGTATGTCCACATAACAATGTGCCTGAAACACTGGATGAGACCCTTAGTGTCATGGCTTACTGGTGGGGAGCCAGCAGTGCTGGGGTAATGTTGGACTTGACGATCTTGAAGGTCTTTTCCGACCAAAATGATTCTATGATTTTATAACACTGCCCAGGACTTCTGCTGTGCTTAGAGAGGAAATGGTAAATCTTATACAGCATGAAAAAAATAGGAGCACTTATAAGTGCAAAGTTACTTAAAATTCTGTTTAGCTTTATAGTGATTTAGGCTTCCTGTTTAATTAGTATCTAGAATTGCATGTTGTTTATAGCCACTGGTGTTTCAATAGATGTTTAAATGTTTAAAGTTTAATAAGCTTCCGTTCTCAAAAGAACAAAAAATGTATGTAATTAAATTTTCAATTACTATAGGGGATTTTGGGGTCCATGCAATTAATAAAAGCTTAAGGCACTTAAGTGTGATCTTGTTTTAAAAACTAAAGAGTTGAGCACTTAACTAATTAGCTCCAACACTTGTAGTGTATTTTAGTTATTTCCAGCTTAACAAAAGTGTATGTATTCCTTTCTTTGAGCTGTTTAAAATTAAACTATTAGAGCTACGCATCTTTAAATGCCATTGTTTGCACAGTTTTTCCCATACCTTTTACAAAAATGCATTTACATTATAAATCAATCTGGTCTCCTGCATAATTCCATTAAATACTGAAAGATTAATTTAACCCTATAATGCTTTATTATAATTTGATTCTGTATTTCTGCATTAATATATTGGATAGAATGAAGAAAAAAAAATACAGAGTAAGTAAGCTCGGAAACATGAACAAGAAGAAACCTGGAGAGGGGCTTTGGACAAGCTCCTATAGGGACAGGACAAGGGGAATGGCTTTAACCTGCCAGAGGGGAGACTGAGATGAGCTCTTAGGCAGAAGTTCTCCCCTGCAAGGGTGGTGAAGTGATGGCACAGGGTGCCCAGAGAAGCTGTGGCTGCCCCATCCCTGGCAGTGTTCAAGACCTGGTTGGATGAGGCTTAGAGTAACCTGCTCTAGTGGAACGTGTCCCTGCCCATGGTACGGGTTGGAAATGGATGAGCTTTAAGTTCCCTTCCAACCCAAACAAGTCTGGGATTCTGTGTTACTGTAGTGCTGTGCCCTTGTACATCGAACTGGTGCAGTCAAGATGAATTCAAGAAGGGATCTGTGGTTAGGAATTCAGACAAGAGGCAAGAAGTTTGCTCTACAGTCACACAGGGTAGTCTAATAATACATGCATTGTCCCTTTCTTCTTTTGCCTTTGAGATCCCCAGATGTCTGCGAAGTATAGGCTTCCTCAAACTGGCATCATATCAGGGTAGAGAGAGTCACTGAGGCATGATGGACTTTCATAGTTTCCCACAGCTTTCCCTCTCCCCTAGCCCCTAATATGATATATTTGCAGCCTCGTCAGGCTCCTTTGAAGGCCGACGTTCAATTATTGTTTGGATTGCTGACAGTATTTCTTGAGAAACACAAGCAGAGAAGGGAAATGGTGAGTTTTGGCCAACGTGTAACTTGGCTGCCTGTGAACAGAATTTCCCAGCACAAAGAAAAGGCACTTTTTTACTTTCTTCTCTCTTCCAAATTATACAAACTTGCTACAAACAATAAGAGTTGGCAGTTTCTCAAGAAGGATTACAAATAGCTTTCATAATTAAAGACATACAGAAAGTTCACACAGATGTTACAGCTGTCCTAGTAATTACACTAGGATGCATATGGAAGGTGTTACACTTAAAATGTAAAGATATTTACAGTCTGAGTTTTGTGCTCTGAAAACAGAAACCTTCCAATTTCTCCACTCATTCCAATATTTACATGCCATCTTTCATTAAGTCATGCTTCAATGCTAAAAGACACTCATGGATCACTATTATCTCCCTTTTTCAAGAGGAACATTGATGAAGCCAGGTTTTATGCTGTCAAGACTTCACTAATTTGAAGTGATACATGTTATGAACACATAAAAATTAACTGACATGAAGTATGGTGAATTATTAAACAATACAAATTAAAGATGTTGAATTCACAAATTAATTAACAAGCATTAACTCTCCCACTCATTTGTAAGAACTGTACTGCAGTTCACAATAATATTACTTGTCAAGACCGATTTGCAGAACATATGACATATTCAACAGTGAAATGCCTCACAAAAAAGACTGTAAAACTACACTGGATAGTAACTGTAAACAGCTACAGAGTTTTAATGCATGTAAGAATTTGTATTTCCAATGGAATTTATTTCTTAAAACACTTTTCCATCAT